ACACGGCTAACAACAATAAGGCAGTACACCACAGTTCAACACCAAGTTAATAGCTAGACATTTACATTCCCTGCTGAAAAAAAGCATAGAAACCATTCAAAGTGTGTCCAAGAGTCTCTAACGGTATTTTGTGTTTCCCTGATGGGTTGATATCACAGTGTAAAGGATTCTAATGATTTAGAAGGTGTTCTGAGACTAATTCCAGGTGCATTTGATGGTTTCTTAATGGGATCTAAAGGTGTCCTACAGGAATTTGTTTCTAACAGTAACTGTTAAGCCATTAGAAAGAAAACCATCAGGTTTGAATCCTTATGGTACTTGTAGTCTTTTTACAACAGGGTCATGTTCAGATTTCTCAAAGAAACGTTTTACATTGCAAAGTAAATGCAGTGTACGTGCAGTGGCTAGCCGATTAGCTCACTGAGGCTAACCTACCGTCGGTGAGAGCGTTCTGTTTGAATAATCCACTCCTCACTGACCCCCCCCTTCTACTGTAAGTGGTCACTTGTGTAGCACAGGCTTCACCTCAGAGTGGAGACTCAATGTCTTTTTAAAAAAGAATAATATATGGTGAGAATGGGCTTCCGTAAGTTTGGCACCCATGCTGTGTGCTGTACTGTACACACTTATAAACGATGGTTCTCCAAGGGTTCTTTAGTAAAGAAAATGTTTCTTTAGAGAACCATGAACACTCAAAGAACCCTTTGCATGATTAAGGGGTCTTTGCATCATTAAATGGTTCTTCAGATTGATAGAGAAGACGGTTCTACACAGAACTTTGTTGAAAAGAGTTCTATATAGCACCAAAAAGCGTTCTTCTATTGTAACAACAGAAGAACCCTTTACTAAAGAACACTTGAAGAACCACCTTCATGCTCGAATATGTAGACTTTTTTTGTGCAGTTATTGCCTGCGTTATGTTTTACTACGATTTCACAAACAGAGAAAGAGACAAATGTCCTGTCTTCCTTTCACATCTCACTCAGAAAGTGTATGTAAGGCTCAGACTGACTGCAGTGATCTCATTTCCTGTCAAAATGAGGCGGAGTCAGGGTCACTCTAGAGGTGTGAGGGCACCTCCACTAATGCCTTAAACCATGCCACACGCCCCCATCTCTCTCTCTCTTTCTCTCTCTGTCTCTCGCTCTCTCTCCCTCCCTCTCTGCTGTATGGTCAGTGTGCGGCAGTGTTTTTAGAAAGACGGCCGCTGGTCTGCTCTGAAGCAGCGGGTCACGGTCAGGCCGAAACAGAATTAAATCTGAACACAGCATTTCTGCAGACAATCTGGCAACCTGATTGCGGAAACCTCTCTCCATTCAGTGCGTATGCTTTTAAAATCCTTTTGCCTGATTGATGTTGTTGCTTTTATTATATTACTTTTATATAATTCTGAAATCATTTCAGTAGTGGCATCTGTGAGTTAAAACTAAGAAGCTATGCTGAGATTCAGACTAAATCAAATGAGTTTGGATATTTATTCTATGAATGGATGAAGTGATTGATTTTGTCTGCACGTTTCTCTGCGATGTGGAGTACGTAACGATGATGGTGAGACATGTTTAACTCGTTCATCCGTATGTGTGGTATGGGAACTGTGCTGAAGGTCCTCCTGCAGCTGCGTGCAAGCGTGTATTTGGACATGGATAATCTGTGTGGATGATGTTATCAGGCTTTGCCTAGAATAGAAACATTAGATGAAATTTGTATGATAGAAATTGAATGTTTCTATGGGTCAGTTTTGTTATGTGTACATTTTATGATTAGATTGAATCAGGATGGCTTGGGGTCAGTAGTGGAATTCTGTATGATTTGCAATCCAAGCTTATGCATTACTGGGTTGTTTGCTCACTGTATTTATGTAAATACAGTATAATATACTGTGATGTTTTTCAGTGGACAGTTGTGATTATGTATCGATATTATGGTTAATTAGGCTCCCATGTAAAGTTTCGCTCTTTTGTTGACAGAGTTTGAATTCAGTTCAGGAGAATATAGCTGGGCTTGAGACCATGTCCTACATTTTTCTTACATTTTGTTTTTCACATTTATTTGGCCACAGCATGAGATGTACATACCTGAAACAGTTGTAATTCAGATTTACATTTCCAACCTCTTTATCCCTGTCTGTTTGTTACTATGCCTTTAATATGCAACATGTAAATGAGCTGTGATCTGATTGGCTGCCATATTTTGTGCTTAATTTTTATTTAAAAAGCAGTTCAAGCAAAGCACACGTTCCTCATAACATGAGAGTAAATAGGCGGAGCTACACTGCTGTAGGCCGAGTAGGTGGATATATGCCAGTTTGTTCGTTTTCATGACACATAAATAATGAAATTAGAATGGGTTGTTTTAACAAATGTCACGTTTTGAAGCTTTAACAAAGTCAGAGACGATTGCTCATCTGTTGCAGAGCAGTTTGTGGGGACAGTCGTGTGCTGGAGGTTAGGGAACCAGCCTTGTGACTGGAAGGTCGCCGGTTTGATCCCCTGAGTCGACAGTACGTGATTGAAGTGCCCTTGAGCAAGGCACCTAACCCCCGACTGCTCCCAAGGCACTGCAGATAGGGCTGCCCACCGCTCCGGGCTAATGTGCTCACTGCCCCCTAGTGTGTATGTGGTGTTTCACTGCACAGATGGGTAAAATGTGGAGGTGAAATTTCCCTGTTGTGGGACTAAGAAGGGTCACTTAATGTGCTCCTTCCATTTCCTGGAGATTTACCACCCTGGAGAGTTCAGATCCAACACCTGGCTCATATAGTCAGATGCCCCTGAAGGCCTTGATTACCTGGATCAGGTGTGCTCGATTAGGTTTGGAGCAAAACTCTGCAGGGTGGTGGATCTCCAGGAGATAGGGCCTTTAAAAAAAATTATTGCACTTTGTTTTGCATTTTAAATGGTAATAATGGTGAATTGATTGTCTTCCAACTTATAAAACCTCAGAATAATCTATATATTTTGACACTTCTGTGGTGAATATAATTAATTTTTTGTTCATACAGGTATTGTAGTGCAAAAAGTGCCTATAATAATTTCCGCTGATTTAAACTTGTTGAATATTTTGTATTGACTTTTGCTGAATCCAGATGCTGATCCAGAGTATACAAATATATGTAGTGGAACTTAAGAATCATGTAGTGTAGTGCAGTGTGTGTGTGTGAGTGTGTGTGTGTGTGTGTGTGTGTGTGTGTGTGTGTGTGAGTGTGTGTGTGTGGTGCTAATAACAGGGCTTAGCAGTGATGATTGAGTCACGATTGCTGGGGGCTCACACATGATGTCACGTCTCCACCACAATGCTAACCTTCCACTACATCAACACATGCATGGAATATGAGTATGAATTTGACAGCTTTATATCCAGCTATTACGTTCAGATTGTAAGACACTGTTGTCATAACAGTATCTCACTTAGTGATGGGGTTGATCGATGTATTGGCCTTGTATTTTATGTAGTAACAAGTAGACGTGTCTGATGTGAGACAGAGCTATTCTGAGGGCATTTCTGAGGGGTTTCATTATACGCTCTTCTTATTGGATAGACTACTACTAAATGGACAGTCACCACTTAGTTAAAGGTTTAAGTTCAATACTATTACACTAATGTAGACAGCACTGCTGTGTCTGATCCACTCATACCTGCACAACACACACTAACACCACCACCACGTTATCCGATGGTCCGCCACCTAAATAATACCTGCTCTGTGGTGGTCCTGTGGGGGTCCTGACCATTGAGGAACAGTATAAAAGGGGGCTAACAAAGTATGCAGAGAAACAGATGGACTACAGTCTGTAATTGTAGAACTACAAAGTGCTCCTATATGGTAAGTGGAGCTGATAAAATGGACAATGAGAGTAGAGACAAGGAGGTGTACTTAATGAAGGGGCTGGTCGGTGTGTATATGTGTAGTATTTTCTAATGGCTTTGAACGTGCCTAGCCATGTTTTAAAACAAAATCTATCTGTTCCGTAATTACTGATTCAGAGCTCATGAAGAGGTCATAAAGCACTTGCATGTGTCAAAACAGCACCAGAAATTTGGCTTTTGCATGACCCAGAGGTCTGCAGAAAGATGTTGATGGTTTGGTCTGTATAGACGTGAATGATCTGTAATACTTCAATCCAGAGTTTGTTTATAAGTTGACCATATTAAAAGAGATCTGCTTATTTGGTTATGAGTTACTGGAATTTTTAGCTCTTTAAAATCAGTATCTATCATCCAGTTTTCATATTTTTATATTACTTTTTGGCGAAGACCAGAGACCTGTAGACAAATCAGAGGTGACTGGAAGTACAGGAATGAGTGTAAATATGCGTGACTGACCCCCTGAACAGTAATGACATGGCAAGTGGGAGGCCAGCCGGTGTAGAATTAGAGCTTGAGTGGTGCTTAATGACTTGTTTTTTCCTTTTAATCTTCACTTTAAGTCGTGATAGCTCCCCTCGGGTTTATTATACCTCCTGCTAGTGAGCCTCTCTGTTAGAGCAGCATTTAAGGATGCATTCTGTGTAGTGCTGTTTAGAGCCGTGTCACGCGACGCTGCTGTCTCTGCTTTTGCCAAAAAGGAGGATTTTGTCTGTCTGCATGCGCATTAAGAGTCTGAGTCTGACCTGACATGCTTTGACATGTCCCCTGTCTGTCTGTTTAAAGGTACATTTGTGGAGTCTTTACAAGTGCAGCATCTACACTATATTTCTGTTTAGATTTTTTTTTAATTGACGTACGTTTTTTCAAGCTGTTGTGCCTGAATACCTTGTTTTTACATTTACTAAGGCTGAAGATTATCTCTGGTTTGACTTCTGTGAGAAAATTCCCCACAGGGCATTTTACTAACTACGGTAAAGCCATATAATTATGCAATAATTAGGTTACCATGTTTCTGCAAATCCACCCCTTTTTGTTGCTACAGGAAGTCCCACACTGAGCCAATAGCAATAGAGTTAAAGCTGTTCTATGTTGCCATGTCCTCACAAATCCTCCACTGCCTTTTCCCTCTGCAGGAAGATCTGTGTGCACTGTAAGTGTGTGCGTGAGGAGCATGCGGTGCGCGCAGTTCCCGGTCAGCTGGAGAGGATGATGATGAAGCTGGTGTCCGACTTCCAAAGGCACTCCATCTCGGACGACGACTCGGGCTGCGCCTCGGAGGAGTATGCCTGGGTCCCACCTGGCCTCAAGCCAGAACAGGTGGGCAGATACACATGTTAGCATTGCATTGAACCAACTGAGCCACTGTTACACACTTCAGAATGAATGGATGAGCTAAACTGTTGTAGGCTGTATGTGTAGTCATATGTAAAAGTGTTCATGGCTGTGACATCACAACCTTGATGAATTATGAACAGGTTGTTTGGACTGTATGGATCTATAACAACGGGATATCGGATATCAAACGTCTTCATTTCAAAAAGTAATGAAAATGAATTTTTCCGTGATAAGGCTGCTTGAAAGTTATCAATTTTTGAACGTTTGAATAGGCAACTTGCGCCTAAAAGAAGTGAATAATCCCATAGTATTAAGACTTTGCTGTTGAATAATTCATTTGACTTAGATGCATTAGCAAACTTATACTTCATTGTCTTGTGGCCATATTATGTGATTTAACTTCCTTTTTTACATTTTCTCTTGTCTAGTATTGTTGTGTACACTGTCCAGTGTTGTAAATGACCAGCGTGTAGACACCGTTCCTGTATTAGCTAACTGACATGACAATGTTTAATTCAGTGTTTGAGCAATAATATCACTAACGTTGGCGTTTACAAAATACAACACCTACCAATCAGCACTTTCACCACTCATAAGCACACAGTTCACTGGCTAATCTGCCTAACATTAGCTAACCAAAGTAACCAATTTTTATTTTATTTACAAGTAATGGCCCTTAATCATCAAAGTTACGTAAAAAATATGAACTACTCCTCATCTGATTCATGAAACATTTACATGACGTGGAAACAAGCAGAGATTTCAGCACAATTGGTGAATCAGCTTCAACCTACTAGTGCCTCATTTGCATAAAACACACACTCATTCGTGCAGATGTTTCCTATAAAATGACAGCATTCAGAGGCTTGTGAGAACACTAAAATGATTTTGTTGTGTGATTATTTCCCTAAATTAACATATTTAAACATGTTTAAACATATGCATTATTGCAGTGTATGAGATGGCTTTTGCACTAGCTTTGTTTAGTATTTTTTATTTTTTGGGCATTGTCAGTGGTATTAAAAAACAGCACAGTATAATATGTCACATATTCTCTCTTCCGTTCACAGACAGTTTTCTGCCTTTTTAAATTGGCATCAGTAGCCTACCGTTAGCATAGCCTATGTCAAGCTTGCCCCTCTCTGAAAATAAAAACTGCATCAACAAACGAATGTCTTTCATGGAAAAATTAGGTAAATGCCTTAATAAGGACAGAAAAATAAGAGAGTCCTCTACATACTAATTTGTAAATGCCACCACTACTGTAATGTTTTCCCTACTCTTTGTCAAATATTTCAAATATTTAAATGTTAAATGAGCATATTTCGTGACCATGAACCATCAAGAGGGGACAAATACTATTAACCAATATTATCGGGACACATATCATCAAGCTAGCTCATTGAGCCTCTCTTATACCATGTTTCACTCAGAACTGTGTCACAGTATGGAAGAAAAATACATTATGATTTCCCATTCACTTGATTTTGATGTGTTTATATGCTTCATAAAGCACTGCTTGTGTCACCGTTCCTGTAAATCAGAGTGCCTTCCACATGTGCCCTGAACAAGACCTGAACTGTTTATTGTTTTAAAAATGCAGTCTGTGCATCACATCATGCTAGCCTGAAGTTTGTACTGGTGATGGCAGCCTAGCAGCAGCAGCAGCTAAGAGCAGCAGTAACTGAGCCAGTGGATGTGTATTGTCTATTGTATGTGTTCACTGGGAGCTCGCATTACTCTTCATGGAGCAGGAAACAGAGAACTCAGGTTACACTTTACTGAACACTGCACTGAATCTCATTACACAACAGCTTACACACACACACACACACCACTTTACTACCATCTGTTTAATAATAAAGTTTGTGTGTGTGTGTACATACTGTACAACTCTCCTCATGTCTTTGTGTCTGCAGGTGTATCAGTACTTCAGCTGTATTCCTGAGGATAAGGTGCCCTATGTGAACAGCCCAGGAGAGAGATATCGCATTAAACAGCTTCTTCACCAGCTCCCAGCCCATGACAGTGAGGTCAGAACCCTCCACCCTCAATACTGTACCTTGTACTCTCCACCTGAAGGCTGCATACAAAGCCTTAATAGGGAATTCTACTAATTTTTCAAAGTTTCTGCATAATTCATTTGAGATGTACACTATGTCAGAGTGGTTGGATGTGAAATGGTTCATTGTAGAGAAACTTGCTGATTTCTTTACAGTGGTGGTGATAGGAATCAGGGGATGTATTTCACAAAGCATTTTCTCAGTAAGCTGGTAAACCTAAGCCAAAAGCTGAGGACTGTCCAATAGGAATGTTCCTTAGCTTTTCTACTGTTGGACAGACTTGTTTAATGGCTTAATTTTTTAGGCTAGGTGAGAGCCATGTGAAATGTTTTATACCCAACATTATTGGGAAGGAGTACACCAGTCCTTGAAAGACTGCACGGGCAAATATTGCAACAATTCAAGAATAACGTTTCTCATTGTAAAATAGCAAAGAACTTGGGAATTTCATCATCTACAGTACATAATATCATTAAAAAATTCAAATATATGGAGAAATCTCTGTGCGCAAAGGACAAGGCCAAAAAACAGTATTAGCTAGCTGTGATCTTCGGGCCCTCAGGAGGCAATGCATTAAAAACAGACAGGATTCTGTAGTGGAAATCACTGCATGGGTTCAGGAACATGTCCGAAAACCACTGTCTGTGAACACACAGTTTTCATACGTAAATGCAAGTTAAAACTCTACCATGCAATGAAGAAACGCCACCACCTTCTCTGGGCCCGAGCTCATTGTGACAAAATCTGACCTATCAGTTAGGGCTGAACTTAAGCACTTTTAGTCCTGGAGGGCCATGGCACTAAACAGTTTAACATTCTTCTACATACATCTCACCTAACCCTAATCCTAGATTCCACCAGATTAAACTCTGCTGTGGCCAGAGGACACCCCATACAGACAGTAATCCTACACCCCAAAACTTGTGGATTTTTTTTCAGCTGGCCATTTTTTAAATTCCAGTTTACTTTTGATATTTCCGCTGTGAGTTGTAGAATTTGTAGAACATCTGTAACAGTCAAGTCAAATTGAGCCAAAGTTTATGTAGCGCTTTTTTCCAACAGGCATTATCACAAAGCAGAAAATTCAAGCCCCAGTGAGCAAACCAAATGTGACAGAGGCAAGATGAAATTCAGTAAAAACAATATATGCATGTGTATGTTTGTGCAGCCCCAGTACTGTAACTCGCTGGATGAGGAGGAGAAGAAGGAGCTAAGATTGTTCAGCCAGCAGAGGAAAAGAGAAAACCTGGGCCGTGGCAATGTTCGCCTCTTCCCCGTCACCATGACAGGAGCCATTTGCCAGCAGGTAAAAAATTGTGAAAAAATAGGCAAAATAATAGTGCAGCAAAAATTCAGTTAATTTTCTTTCTACCTCGTACAATTGTATGCAAAGGTTTAGGGGCCCCTGGCCAGGTTGCATGTTTTTGTTGATGGTGAAAGTTAAAATAAGTTAACACGTCCTCTACAGAGAGCACACGTTTGCACATTGTTATGCACAATTACTGTTTTTTCTGCCTAAATTAACATAATAAAGTTTCTTTAAAATGTCACCTGTGCCAAACTTATTATACATTTTAATATTTTTTCATGCATTGTTTTGTCCAATATGTTAAACTCAGCAAATAAATAGAAATTGTACAGTAAAATAGGCACGAAAGCCATATTTAAGCGTGTTCTCTGTAGAGGATGTGTTAACTTTAACTTACAAAATCAACAAAACAGATTTTTGCCTATGACTGTATATAGTCGATTAGCCAAGACATTTTTGATGGAACTATGAGGCTAATGTAACTAACAAATAATGGTAGCTAAAAATCATGCTAACTGCATGCCTAAATCATCACTCACTTACTTCTCACCATGTTAGGAAATCTCAAATTGGTTATGTGCTTTCTGACACTGTGAGCCTGTTATCTCTAAAAATGTACAAAAGTATGTTGCATAGCTAAAACAATAGCAGCAGCCTGAATTTTGCTTGAAATTCGATGATGCAGACAGCTTAACAACTAGATTACTTAACAACTCGACACAGTTTGAGGCAAGCGTGTCATGATTTATGTATGTGGTTTACACTGCGCTAATTGATGGCTATATTAGCTTCCAACTTGTTAGCTACATTAGCCTCGTAGCTCCAGTTCAACACTAAAGAAGCAATTTTCAGACATCAAACTTATCTTGCCTACTTTTGGGGTACAGGGGAAGTCTTGTAAATTTGATTTTCACCAAACTATATCTTTAAAACAGATTGTTCTCATTATTTATTAAGTTCCACACTTTGCTAACTGTTGAAGCGATTTTGTAGATAAAGCTTACCCATCTCATAGTAAGAGCTTGCATACTCAACTGTCAACACAAGCTGACTAACCCTCATTTACAACATGACTTTAGAGTATTTCATCATCAGCTGATAAACAGAGACCAGAAAAGAACTATGCTGTTCAAGCCAGGCGTCATAAGGAAGACATAAAGCTGCATGTATTTCAGCTATCTCTTAGCGCCGGTGTTTGAAGTGTTGTGCCACGTTCCAGTACTCTGAACGCACCCTGGCTGATGAATACTTGCTGAGAGGGTGTGGTGGAGGCTGGGAGCGACACTTCGTTTCATCAAGCCTTGATTTATGAACTCGTCGAACAGATGTGGCTTTGCATGCTACGCACCCAGTCAAACAGAGTAAAGCGCAGAGAACAGCAGGGGAATCAGCCTCTTTCAAATGCTCATAAAAGTCGCCTTTTAACCTCCTTTTGACTTCTTAGATGTGTTGTTTTCTTCTCAGCTGGAAAGGAAGACTGTGATAAGGTTGTCTAGGTGACTTTATAGGCCTAGTTCAGCGTAGGAAAGTTACTGAAAGCAACTATGTGTTTACAAAGACCCATTTTACAGGAATGGGAGTGTCGTGCTGCAGCGTAACTGAAGCTGTTCGTTCACTGAATATGGTAGTATTGACTAAAGTAACGAGTACACTTTTAGCTGGTATTTTATTTTACCATAATTATTAAGGGACAAATGTAATCTGCAAGACTAGTGAAAATAATGATTGGTAGCTAACGTTAATGTTTGCTAATGAGGATCCGAGGGGATTTCACTCACGCGTTTCCTCACTGCAGCTGTGAAACTGTGAAAGAGAATATTTTCCTGCCAAACTGTGATCAAGGGAACAGTGAGATTCTAATTTGGCCTTGAGCTTGACCTCTTCAGCCCAGACCATAATTCATTGTACTGTCTGTATGACTCACGTTTGTTTATCACCTTAGGGTTTGACTTTCATGGCGGTTCATTTGGGTTTCTGTATTAATTTGATGTTCTTCTTGTGTCACAATTCTACCAATTGTAACACCTCATTATTGTATGCTTTTAAATTATTTTTAATCAATACTTTCTAATTTTCTTAATTGCTGTGTGGGATTCACTTACAGTACTGGGCTAAACTCAGAGACCTCCCTTTCGTTTATGTAATTTCCAGTTAAAGCGGCCATCAAGTACAAGTCATTTATTTTTCATTGTCATAAAAATGCAGGAAACATATTTAACAGAAAATTACACAAAAGCTTCCAATGCTAAATATATTATCAAACCCATCCACTTTTTTGTGGACCCTACAGTCACTTTAACTCTTCCGTCCTTCCAGTCTTAAAATCAGCCAGTTACAGCTGTGACCTCCCAATAAAAGCTAACTCCAAAGGTACCACCGACGTTATGTTCCCCTTCAAAGAGACACTAACATTCATACAAACACCTACCCAAACACACCTTAGCTGCCTTCAGATATATTTCAAATGTGCGTCTAAAAAGGCTAAAGCTGGTATTACTGAGAAAGTATTAGGTACAATATAATCCACTTCCATGAGGAAGGACAAAGTCAAATTAAAATAAGTGAAGAACTTGAGTTTAAAAATTATTAAAAGATACAGAGAAAATGAAACCGCTAACAACTGTTAGATCACATAAACAGTGCTTTAGGCTTCCATCTTTGAGAGAAAATCCAGCTCCACTCCTGCTTCAGATGTGAAAAAATCTACAGGTGTTTCTGTCCATCGTTCTTTTGTGAGAAGACAACTCAACACTAGAGAGAATGTGTAGCTGTCAAAAAGCTGTTACTGAGAAAAGCAAACAGAAAAACTTTTGTTCAAGAACACTAAAACTGGACATGTTTAGTAAGGTTTTACAGAATGGTGAGTCTAAGTTTGTAATTGGGATTATTTGGATGATAAGCAGAAAATGCAACCAACTTCTAAGACTGAACTTTGGAGTTGTGGAAAAATATCTTGCAGACTTCTTTGAACAGTTGAAAGTGAGTCTTCTGAAAAGAATGGAAGCTATAATAAAGACAAAGTGTGGACACACTAAATACTGAAACATCTGATAGCTGTCTTCTGTGTAACTTTGTGTTAAATGTGCTTTTTCTAACACTAAAAAATGAATAACACCCGTGGTAGGATTCCCTAGTCAAGAACTGCTGATATGTGTGCTTTGTGCTGTAATGATATGATGGTTCTCATATTACCATATCTAGACGCTTGTTTTACAGTGCTCTTTGTAAAAGTCCATGTTAGTGTATTTTGTTGAGTTGTGGGCATGCAATTTTTCTGGCTGCATCAGCATTAAAATTCAGTCAGATATGGAACCACATATGTCCAGATACGCAGATACCCTTAACTCGTGATTCACCACTGACAAACCCTGTGCATGCTGGTATATTCTGTAAACATGTTTACTTAAAGCAGCCCTGATTTTCATTCTGTCTTGTTTGTCTTATGTTCCCTTACGCAGTGTGGTAGGCAGATCTGTGGGGGTGATATAGCTGTGTTCGCGTCCCGGGCCGGTCATGGCTCCTGCTGGCACCCTCAGTGCTTTCAGTGCGCGACGTGTAGTGAGCTGCTAGTGGACCTCATCTACTTCTACCAGGACGGTCACATCTACTGCGGCCGGCACCACGCTGAGCGCATCAAGCCCCGCTGCCAGGCCTGCGATGAGGTCAGCGCAACTTTTGCTATTGGAGGTTCAGGCTTTCACAGTTTGTTTGCATACATGCTTACCAGTATAAGCATGACTACAATGGGAAACTCAGTTTAGGGTTATCCTGCCCAACACAAAGCTTGGTTATCAGTTCCCCAATGTATGTATGCAAAGGTTTGAACACCCCCAGTCAAATTGCATGTTTTGTTGATTTTCTAAGTCACAATAAGCTACAACATCCTCTACAGAGGACACAGCTCTGCATATTTTATTTCACAATGACTATTTATTTGTTTGTTATTTGAGTTGAATATACATACCATAACATTTGCACAGGCCACATCTTTTGTTTGTTTGTTTGTTTGTTTTTTTCACCCAATAAAAAGTAATCATGCATTAAAATGTACAGAAGTGCGTTCTCTCAAAATGTAATTTGACCAGGGGTGCCCAAACTTTTGCATTCAACTTTTGTCTTATAAACACTAAAGTATGCAGTGTTGTGATCCTTCAAGAATGTGGTTGAGAAACACGTTGTACATACAGGTAGAACTAAAAGAGGTGGAAATATACAATATACTAAATTTAAGTAGGTAAAATGATGAAATAGTACTGGAACATTATTTGGTAGTTTGATAATTGTCATAGCTACTGTTTTTTGTTTGTTTGTTTGTTTGTTTGTTTGTTTTCGTTTTTTCTGTCATTTGTTGGACTAAAAATTCTAATAACTAATAGTCAGCTGATAAGTTTTTTATGTTGATTTTATTTTTTTTTACCCAAGTTAAACGGTGCTTTACTGACAGATAGGACTGTCAGTTTCCATTTCTTACACTTCTGAAACTCAAATGAACAGCAGAATCGGAGCGAACTCGGTCACTGAGATGTAAACAAAGTCATTCAGTGTGGTTTGATGTGAAATAGTTCATTGTAGTGAAACTTTCCGACTGATTTCTGTACAGTGGTGTTGATAGGACACCACCAGGTGTTGCAATGCAATCATAGCCATTTTATTTACTATCCTAAATGACCTTTTACATGTAATTCTAGGAACTGTTTTGCCTTAGGAAGTCATGCATGTATCTTTTATCCATAAAGTCAGTAAAATTATCAAAAAAACATTTAAGCCAAAACCTCATCACTAAACTATCATAAAACAATCAGGCAGTGTATTCATGTAATAACTTTCTGTGAGGGAGCTTTTAGAGGCATTAAACTCTTCAAACGTCTGGCTTCTATCACCACCACTGTGAATAATTCTGACTCAGTAAGTTTAAGCTGGTGTATTTAAACTGAAACCACTCTGAATGACTTTATTTACATCGTAATGATTTAATTATGCTGTTTTTTTGTTAAAAAAAAAACAAAAACAATTTGCTGTAATTCTCTTTAAAATAAAATAAACATTGCAACGCTGTAACACTTAATAGAATAAAATAGTTTTTGTTGTTTTTATGCTAAAAGGTAGTTCAAGCTTGACGTTTTTTATTTTAACGTCTTTTTATCCTAACCATAATAGTGTTTTTATGGGTGATATATTTAGTTGTTTGTAAAAATCAACAATCAACATTATGTAAAACGCTGTGCAGTTTACCTCAGTGGCCAAAGGAGGGCAGCAATCTCATCACAGCCGCTATTACAGCTTCTGCTGCCGGAGAATAATACTGCTGACCTGTTGACTACCACAAACATTTTACCCTCTCACATCTCTTCAGGCACATAAAATATACTCTGTTCTTAAACCAGAATGACACCAAACCACAGACACCCACATCTCACACCTTTCCTCTCTCTCCCTCTCTCTGTGGTTAGATCATTCTAGCAGACGAGTGCACAGAGGCGGAGGGCCGCCACTGGCACATGAGGCATTTCTGCTGTTTCGAGTGCGAGACGGCGCTGGGCGGTCAGCGCTACATCATGAGAGAGAGCCGGCCGTACTGCTGCACCTGCTATGAGTCACTTTACGCAGAGTACTGTGACACCTGTGGGGAGCACATCGGTAAACCTCTTATTCATACATACATGAAGGTTCTAGACAAAACTCCATACCCTCATCTGGCAAAATGGGGTAATGAGCAGCCTGTTAATGGATAGTAAAAAGAGGAAATATAAGAGATGAGATGTTACAACAAGTAATAAACCTCTGCAGTTGTGTCACTATTCAGTAGTCAGCATCACACACATATTTCACACTTTAAAAAGATGGTTCTTTAAGAGCCATATCATTTTCCGCTTTTATTGAAATGAGTTTGATAGTTTATATTTACTTTCAAAGTGTACTGTTCACTCCCTGGTCCATACTGGTCATATGTGGAAACTAAGCTGCAAAAAACAGCTTGTTTTAAATTGTGTAATTTTGTGATGTCATGAAAAGCAGCACATTTACATACACCCAAAAATTCAGCCTACAGCAAGTTAACCCCACCCCATTCATATTGAAGTGGAGTGTTTCGGCCTGGGCTGCTCTTAGAATGAGCCACAATTTATCAGTCTTAATGACATAGTAACAAAGACAGCATGTTTACTTTCCAGGGATAAAAAGAATATGGAAAATGGCAAGTAAACATGCATCACGAATGTGAGGGCAAAAAAAACAATTACTGATAAAAAGTCTATTGTCTGCCAGACTGCAGTGCCCATTGTGAAAACATTGAGTGGACCACATTATCAGCAATGTCCTATTTGCCTCTGTGCAGGAATAGACCAGGGGCAGATGACGTATGAGGGTCAGCACTGGCATGCCTCTGAGGCATGTTTTTGCTGTGCTCACTGTCGACTCCCCCTGCTGGGCAGACCCTTCCTCCCCCGTGGTGGGCTCATTTTCTGCTCTCGGCCGTGCTCTCTTGGGGAAGACCCCGATAACTCGGACTCCTGTGACTCGGCCTTGCAGAGCAAACCCGCCTCACACAAACACACACAACATCAGCACCGCAGTTCACCGCTGAGGCCACTGGAGGGCAGCAATGCATCCGCTGCCACTGTGAAAACATCTACTGCTAGTACGTCAACTCATCCCTCGGAAAGCAGAGGTGTGACGCATAACTTGTATTGGATTTTATGTGTTTTACATCATTTGTCTTAATAGAACTCTGTTTTATAAATTATTTTCATAATTTTCCATTTACATGGCTAGAGGTCTTTATCTGAGTGGTAGAATATTCAAATAATTTTGTTCTGTCCATCTCTCTCTCCTATTTATAAGGTGTACACACTTCATTCTCCCATTTACAAAATGGTGGTCCTCCACCTCCACCTTACAGAGAAAGACGCCCCCAGAGCTCACACTCTCCCTCCCAGCTCACTTCCTTAGCCAACGGCTGGGGAACCTCATCACCCGGGGACCAATCAAACACTGACAAACACTCAGGACACAGCAGGCTGGAATACACAGTGGAGCTGAATGGATATGCTGAATTTGGCCCATTTCCACCAAGCTGCACTTCCAGAGGAACCTCGACAGCGAAAGACAGCAGCACACTCGGAGAGAAGAACAGTTCGGGTAAGTTTTTAAATTGATGAGTTCAATGTGTGAGTCTTAAAAGGCTCATAATAGGAAACCGAAAAATACACAAATCATTTAAACTATTTATTTAATTGAAAATAATACGAAGATAACATATCAGATGTTGAAACAATGTAAAATGTATTTATTTTTTGTAATAAATGCCCATTTTGAATTGCCAACAGCACGTTTCAGAAAAGGACATGGCAACAAAAGACGGGTAAAGCTGTGGAATGCTATACAAAAAGTCTTATACAAAAGTATGAGTGCCTCTGGTCAAATTACACGTTTTGTTGATTTTCAAAGTGAAAAATAAAACACATCCAGTACAGAGAACACACTTCTGCACATTTTAATGCACAATTACTGTTTATTTGATGAGTTTAATACACACATAAAATGTGGCACATATTATGGCATGTATTATATTTAGTTCTGTTTTTTTCCAATATGTTACAGTCTGCAAATAAATAGAAATTACGCACTGCAATTTTTTACAAAATTGATATATTTAAATTTGTTCCCTGTAGAGGATGCATTAAGTCATTCTCACTTAAATCAATAAAACCTGTAATTTGCCCGGGAGTGTTCGAACATTTGCATATGACTGTATATAGTCATCTTTAATTTGGCCATAAAACTGTAATTAATTGTAATTTAGGAAGAACAGAATAAATATCACACGCACAATCTTATCTATGCAAAATACAAATAATGTGGTATGAATAATAGGATGTCATTACCCAGCATGTTTAAAGGTTCAGTTATGTTCATGTGTGGGATTATTAGTGTCTTGCTTGTGGTAAATGAGTTTTTACCATCCCTGGAGGCTGTTACCACGGTAACTTGATTAACATCACCAGGCAAAACCACCAGGAAAAAACCTTATCAAAAGATCTTTAAATCTCAAGAAAGAAACATGGAGATGCAAACGTTTCCAGTACATGGTCCTTCATGCAGGCACTCAGAAAGCATGTACGTGAGAGCAGACAGGGCTGTTTTAAATTTGCATGTTGACATTTAAATTTTATTTACAATGATAATTATTTAAATTTTATTCATTTGCAATCTAATGCTTGACTGTTGCTAGACATTTGTAGCAGAAAAGTCAGTTGCATGTTAGTGGAGGACTGATTCACTTTTTTCTTCTCTGTTTCTTTCACACTCTTTTCACTCTCTTTCTCAGGAATTCTCTCTCCGCCTCACTCATCCCCTGCATTTGACTCCCTAAACCACACGGACTCTTTCCCGCCTCCTCCACCTCCTGTATTCATCGGCCTTGATGATTTGCCAATCCTGCCCCCATCTGACGCTTCTGAGCCCGAGACCCTCCCGCCTCCACCCGCCCCACTGCCAGCGCGGAGCAGCACGGCCAGGGTCAGCTTCAGGGAGCCAATCAGCAGCAGCTACTCGATGGAGGAGGATGAGGAAGAGGAGGAAGCAGAAGTAGAGGAGGAGAGAAGAGAAGTGGGTGAGGGAGAGCAGGAGGAAGAGGAAGAAGAGGAAGCTGTTGGAGGTTTGGGACGCAGACTACGCCTTCGAGCTGGAATGCCGCCTCAGATGGACCTTCTGGGTAGGCACGGAATTTATGAAATATAGATCATGAAAAAGAATTGTTTTCATTCCCCTTAAAGAAATGATTGGTGTCCAAAGTTTGATTCTTTAGTTTTAGTTTAGTTCTTTGTAGCTAACAAGTAATGGAAGCTTATGTACAGCAATTAGCATCATTAAACTATTCCTTTAAAGCTAATTTATAAGTCTTCTTAAAATATTTGCTTATATTGGGAACAGATCTGGTGTGGAGTTTTGTCACAAAAACACACACCACACACACACACATTATCTAAAACGCTTATCCTCCTGTGGCCAGTTGCACCAGCTGAGCGTAAGTTCAAACATAGGCTACTTGTAACGTAAGTTCAGGTTTATGCATTACTAAATCAGAACAGGTTGCACCACACAAACTAGTTTTAACGTTGAGCTTACTAAATACTAAATAATTACACCTCCCCCTGAGCAAGTGTAAGTTTTGGGGAAACCCCCAGAAACCACATAACCACAAAAAACACACACAGCTCCAGCTCAGTGAGACTCAGTGGCTGCCCAAACGGCAATAATAAGTTATAATATTTAAAGAGCCTGTATATGAAAAACTAACAAAATCTTTATCGCTTTGTTGAAACAAAAGTAGTTGTACGTAGTGTGTAAACATTGCATGTTACATATACTGTTTACCTTCCTGTCCATATATAGAAATAAAGATGCCACAATTGCCTATTTTGAATTCATTGTTTTTGTGATTTCACGAAAACCAATGCATATACATGTATCCTACAGCAGTTTGCTCTGCCCATTCATGTTGAAGTTATAAGGAATGATTCAGTCCAGAGTGCTTTTCGAATGAGGCAAATTACAGAGCAGTCAATCACAACAGAGAACATTTACATTTATCAGTGTTAAAGGTACAGTAGTAAAAAAGCCTGTTCAATTCTAAGGGAGAGATTTTAAAGAGAGATTGTAAAATGGTCCTTTAAACATGAATTAAATATAAAAATAAACCGTTTTTGATACACAAATGCACACATAAGTAGACCTCACAGACCAAAATAAAATGCAATACAAATGTAGGATATTGGACCCTTAAGGTTTAGATTTTGCTCCTAGATCTTTATGTAGTTAATCAACCCCCTCATTCTCTTCCTAGATGGATCATACCACCGCAGTTTCCGGCGGGGGGGTGCAGGACCCCCTGGCCACAGCCGCGTGGCTTCAGACTCGCCGCTCCACCTGGGCACAGAAAAGCGCTTCAGACGCTCACGGCGTGACAGACCCCATCTGGAGACATTGGAGTGGAGAGGACGGGACCATCCGCAGCCTTCCTGCAGCAACGTGGACGGAGATGGCAGCCCCCGGCTGACCCTTCACTCCACCTACTACAGACACGAAGACTCCTGCTCCACCTGCTCATCTTCATCAGACTCAGAGGAGGAAGGCTTCTTCCTGGGCCAGCGCATCCCCCTGCCCCCACAACTGACCGGCCAAGAGAGGACCAGGGATGAAGAGAAAGAGGAGGAGGAGGAGAAAGGGAAGACGAAGAGAGGCAGCCTGAGGAGGAGGAGGACACACAGTCTGAGCAGCAAAGACAAAGACAAAAACTGTATACTGTCCTGAGAGAGAGAGAAAGACTCTTGTTATGGGCTACGTTCACATTACAGTGGCACAAATCCAGTTTTTTGCCTAATGGTGATGCAGATATACAGAGCAATTCACTCGAAAGAGGCCCCAAATATTCTGTTGTAACTCCTGTTAGGATGAAGCAGTCTGAACCAGATTGAACCCAGAAGTTGCAAACGGAGGTTAAACGTCGCAACCTCATCACTCTGACGCAGGGGTGTCCCGGCTTGTTCGAAGCTCCATATACTGAGGAGCATATTGCACGTTGTTTCGCTCAGATTGCTTCGTCCTAGCGAGAGTTATTACAGAATATTCAGGGCCCCTTTCGAGTGAATCTCCCTGTATTATATGCTATTGTAGGTCTGTGTGAACACAAAAAAATCTGATCTTTTTTCAAATCATATTTGACCCCCTTTCATATGTAGTCCTAGATTGGATACCTATCTGACGTGTGGCCATTGGAGGTATAAAAAATATCACTGCACCATGATGCATAGATCTGAAGGTGATGATTCAGCTGCACTGACCTTGTAACATTATAGTCAGTTACAGTAATATTTAATAAAGGGTGCACCCATTTCGGCCAAAGTACAGTTCTCAGGGTATTTTCAAACATAAATATCTGAGTAAAGGTTGCTGTATAGTTTTATTGTCGCTATTCTAATACAGTGTAAATCATATTTAATCAGATTTAAGATTTCATGATGCACTGAATCGTTTCTGGATTGTTCCTAATTCCCTTTCTTTTTGCGATTGAATCAAATCTTGAAATCAAAGGTTTACACCCCCAGTGGCCATAACGAGAACGGTCAGATTAAAATTCTCTTTTTTTTACATCACACTTCTCTTGGCAGCTTTTGTCATATCAATTGGAGATTAACCACTTTCAAACACAAATCTGAGCCATCAATCCAGAAAGATCAGACCTAAGTGAAAAATCTGAACTAAGACCCTGTTCACACTTGGTTTTGAGTGATCTGATTCGTAAGTGAACAATGAGACAGCCGTTTATACCTGGCAGTCTTGAATGCATATCCAGTTACCATGTGATCTGATTTTGTGATTGCTGCATTTGTTCTCCCATAAAAATGTCCCACAAGTTCTTGTTCATGTGAATGTACAGGTTGTTACAAACATTTCGATTGCAAAAATTGCTAAAACAACTTATAAACATACAGGAGAGGAGATAAAGAAGGAAACTGCTTTTGTCTGACACAGTTGCTCAAGGTGGTCCTTTGTTGCTACTGGGGGTGCATTGGGATGCTTTAGGGTTCAAACAACAAACTTTATGTGGTCATATGTGCCCCTGAAAGGTGGTTTGAGTGATCTGATCACAGTGCGCAGAGATGCATGGGGCACCTTTACTTAGCACTGACCACTTTTGATCAGATCACCCAGGATGTATGTTAATGCCAGGTGTGAACAGAGCCTAACTGATCATTAAGCCTTGCAATGTGAACGTAGCCATAGAGACACTGCAGAGTTTGCTGCTTCTTGCCTTTGTTCAGTGAGACAATACAGGAACCGAACTGTTTTAAAGTTGTATTTGATCAATACTGACATCCAAGCCAAGAAACTACTGCAATTCACATATTGGACTGTAAATCATTTTGGACAGTATATGTTTTTTTTATGGGGCAAAGAGCTTTTATTGAGCAAAAAGAAAGAAATAGACCTCACTGATCATTGAAGCACTTTGCAAACTTTTATATATGTTTAAATAAACAGATCTTCCTTCAACGTTTTATCTCTTAGAACCAAAAACCATTCCGCCTAGTGTTTTTAGATTTGGTGCTTGCAGTTAAATGCTTTCCAGCGCTTCACTGGAACAGTGAACAATGTCCAAAATGTTCATAGTACGTCTAGTTAAAAGATCATTCCAGTCACTAAACAGTATCACAGTATCATGTTAAAAGGAAGCGGAGTAATCAGTAATCAAGCAGTAATCTGGACTTTGGAGCAAAGCTCTTTCTTTCCAACTGAGGTTTAAGAAGGATGGTGATTTTGAAGGCGAAAGCGCAGTTCAGTTGGTGAAAAAAACAAACCAACATAACGATAAAATGGAAATCCACATTCTGCACAGGAATGAAAAGAGTAGAAGAGAAAAATGTTTGTTGTCCCTGTCATTAGAAAACCTTGTAACTGTTTATTTACTCTTTCTATTTGCTGCGTTTTAAATGCCAACATTGCCTGACGAATCGACCCATAGAAATTTTGAAATGCAAACATTTTACATTTGTTTAAAAATATTTTGCCTTATTCTGTAAAGGTAGAGGTATGAGGTTTTCTTACAACAGTGATTTTATACAGCCACACTTAACCATGACCAAACCAGTGTTCTCATTCAAAGCAGTACTGATCACTCACCCCAAATATAGTCAACCAGCCAAGACATATTTGGTCATTGAAATGTGCTTCTTTTATTTTGCACTGGAGCTTCAAGGCTTATGTAGTTAAGAGTAATAGAAGCTTAAACCTCACCAATTAGCATTGTAGCATTGTGCACAGTGAGTGTTTACAGGCACTCGATAATCACTCGATAATTGGATTTCTGCAGTTATCTGATTATTCAAATGGTCATGTAAACAGTGACCTCTGATTTCGTAGATCAGAGTAGAAATCCTATAAAGAGAGCTGGATTTTAGCCCAGTAAATTTAAAGTAAAGATTTCTCTGTGCATATAAACTCTTACTCTGATTTCTTTTGGATTTCTCAGTCTGAGCACGCACGAAAACAGACAGCGGTGCCAGAAATAAGCGAGCAGCATTGCTGCGAGACGCAGCCAAACACTTTTGGAGCAACGCTGAAACCAAACACATGCTTGATGAATGAAGGATTTAAATTTTCTTCATCTTCTAGATGATGTATGTTCATATTTTCAGGTAAAGTAACGCAATGTTTTTTGAAAAACAGCCGTGGCATGAAGTTTGAGTTTTACAATATGTTTACGTCACGTCTTCTTCTGTGAGTCTATTGGCTGGTTGCAAATCAGAAATCCAATTATTGTCTGACTCATGTAGACCCAGAGTTTCCCCATTATCTGATAACTCAAGTGCATGTAAACGCATTGATCGAATTACTGACAAAATCTGATTTTCTGCAGTTACCGGATTATTAAGTTCATGTAAACACACTCAGTGTGACTAAATCATCTCACAGTTGCTTCAAACTGGGTTGAGTTGTTAAGTAATCTCTAAAAGACTTGGTTTCTAGCACTGAAAGACATACTGTTATTTATAAATTGTTTTTATATTGTGATAATTGGTGGAATATATAATGTGCCATTACTTTTTAGTTACATGAGCCTTGTAGCTCCAAGAAGCAAACTTCAGACACCAAACATGTCTTGGCTGAGTTGCTACGTTTGGGATGAGCGGAAAACTGTGTTCGTTTTTCGCTGAACTGTCGCTTTAAGTAAGAGCAAAACACCAGCACTCAAGGATGCAGTGTGTTTCAACCACAAGGTTGCCAAGTTCGAAGAACGTTTAAAACAGCTGTAAGTTTATAGCCACCATGTGTTGCTCTGTATTTGGCATCTTCATGTTCAGTACATGCAATATTAAATTGTGGCATAAACATTTATATTTAAAGTTTGAATCCCAAAAGGGACCCTGAAATACAAAGAAACCAAGCTTTTGTTGGGCAACCAAAAACACATTTGTAATGTTCAGAGTGTGCTCTGTAGATCCCATAATCCAGTGACTCTGCAGCTCCAGACTAAATCCTCTCTGCTCCCAACAAAACCATTTCTACTTCAGAACCTTCATCAGTGTAACTGAGAATTGAAGTAAGGCAAATGGAAGATTGAAAAACACTGTAAATTAGAGTCATATTTTTTATATAAACATGGGTGATGGTGCAACTTTCATGATCATGTAAATATATTGTCTTTAGATATATGTTTTTTTAGGAACATTCTTCTTTATCAGAGAATAAAATGTTATTTGAAGATACCTTTGTTAATAGGTGAAAATAAACCACTTGAACTTTTGTCCTTGTTCCTTGTTCTTGCCTGCAATTTTTCATTTGACTGTGATTTTTAAGCAAAATGTCAGTTTAGACTGACTTTTTCAACAACTCTTGCAATGATACTCATTACTTTTACACCCAACTAAGCAAATTAAGACATGCTTTTAATGGTATGTTTAAACATTGTCTAGCTTGGACTAGATTAAGCGAACACTACATGGGATTATTCCACTCTGTGTCTGGAGTTTGTAGACACCTACTCCTCCAATGTTTCTTCTGAAATCAAGAGTATTAACAAAATGAAATCTTCTCTTCTAGGTAGGGCTTACCACTAGATGTTGGAACATTACTGTGAGGATTTGATTGCATTCAGCCACAACAGCATAGTGAGGTCAGGTACTGATGTTGGATGATTAGTTCTGGATCACAAATGCCACTCTAACTCATCCTAGAAGTGTTGGATGGTGCACCCTCACTTCAGAGCACTTCCACTGCTCCTCAGCCCAATGGTGGGGAGCTTTATACCCCTCTAGCCAACCCCTCTTGGCATTGGGCATGGTGATCTTAGGCTCATGCAGCTGCTCCAGTCCCATTCTATTGGTCAGTGTTGGTTTTCTATGGTAATTATACAAGCTGTGTCAGCAGCGGGTGCACCTTCACAAACTAGAAGGGGTGTCTGGATACTCTTGAATAGTTCTGATGTATTTTGGATACAGCCACTTCTCCTTCTGTCCAGCAGAGGGAGAATTATGTTGAAATTTTTTTTTTGATACAACTCTAATCCTTCATCAGAATGTAAACCAGTTCTACTCTAGACACCTCCACCGTCACTCAGCATGACCTGCAGCTCAGGAATGGCTGGCTCTTCTAAGTTACTAATTAGCGGTAGAGGAAGTCTGGAGCTATATTTTAAAACCGTTTGGGTTCAAAGACATGATGATGTTGTGCATTATGTACAGTCACTTCCTTATTTCACCAGTAGGTATTCCCTTTTCCATTGACTGTGCTTGGCTGGAAAAAAAACAGCACAGATCAGCATGCATTCCATCCTGGTACAGGCTGGCTTATGCTGGTCTAGTGCTGGGTGCTAGTATAGCTGAGCACCCACCATGGTCATGCTGGTTGACTAGCATACCAGCATCCAAGACACAACATACGCTGGTTTTGTTTTTACTTATTGTTTAATATGTTTACTTAGATGTTTGTAAGACTATATAAAAATCTCACAAACATCTAAATACTCATATTACACCCACACACACCGCTAAACACCATGATCAAATATAATAGGCTGAGAGGAAAAGACTTTAATTGTGCCTAAGTGTTATTTTGGAAGATTTGTACTCAATTTGCGTATCAAATAAATTGAATACTTGCACATGTAAGGTGGTCCTTTGTTGCTGTTGGGGACGCATTGGCGTTTAAAATACAAAGGTTACGTGGTCATATGTGCCCTTGACCTCCTGTAAAGGTGGTTTAAGTCATCTGATCACCATGTGCAGAGATGTATGGGACACTATTCACATCTATACTTAGCACTGACCACATGTTACATTTCCAAGAGAAAAAAATTTACTTCTTACTCCCTACATTTTCATTTAGACTTTTAAAGTACATGTTACAAGTCGCAAAAGCTAGATTTTTCTCTTTGTCTCGTCAAACAGTCGAAATGATGTGCATTTTGTATTTTTTTTCCAACAACATTGAAGTTCATAAGTGTAAAGTGAAACTGGCCACAACTAATTTTTCTTTGTTTTATGATAAAACATTTACTTTGTACTTTTATATAGTTAAGCATGTTGATACTTTTTGACTTAACTGCTGAAAAAACCCATAGGAACCACAGAGTGTTTCTGTTGTTCTTAATCGTTTTGTGATGTGTTTTGGCTTTTTCAGTGGGTTGATATCATAATGCAAAGCCTCCTGATGGTTTAACAGGTGACCAATGGCAAAATCTAAATGCATTTGATGGTTTCCTAATGGGATCTAAGGGTATTCTACAGCAAACTAGTGGTCTTGGGAACCATTAAGCCAATTCCCATTAGAAAGCAAAACTGTTTTATTACCTGATAGTTTCAACAGGAAAGTCTAATTTTGTTTCCATACTTCCCCTTTAACTTGAGGGAGATTTTAATACAGTACACTTGCTCTCCCTTAAGTACAGTTTCCCAGGACTTCTTCTAGCTCTGGAGGTCACACTGTGTCCTTTTCATGTGTTCAACTGTGATTATGAACAGTACCGACTGCTTTGTGCTTCAGAAAGTTACACTTAAAGAAGTAGCTTTTCCGAACATGCTAACATGGCTAACAACAGATGCTAGCGGCCATCAATTAGCTTGACCATGTTTGCTCAATGCTACCTGGGCATTTCAGCAAAAATACATTCAATACATTCAAAATTCCACTTGTTTAACTTCTTCCGCTTGACACAAAAGGCCTAAATGCCTGCCATTCTCAAACAGTGGTCTGACATTGGTGTTATAGTGGCCGTAACCTTTAACCTGTCTACTTTTGGGAGCTGATCTTTCACTGTCATTGCCCCTAAACTATCATTATTAATGAGTAACTGTTTACTTTCATTCACTTTTACATTTTTAGTACAAGTTATTCATTTTTCAGCATCAGGAAAAAACATATTTACCAGAAAATGACACACAAACCTGAACAACTAAATATAATCTCAAATTTTATGACAGCTCCCATTCTTGCTTTCCCTTTTTCAAAGAAATCTGCAGGCATATTTTTCCACACCTCCGAAGTTCAGTCTTAGAAGTTGGTTGCATTTTGTGCTTCTCACAATCCAAGTAATTTCAAACACATTCAGTGATGTTGAGGTCTGGATTCTGGGCTGGTCAGTCCATTGTTCTGAGAACACCTGCAGCTTCTTTGTTTGATGTGAAAATGTTCTTTTTTTGTTTATTTCCTGTTCTCAGGGCTTACTGACAGCTACACATCCTTACAGACTCGTAGTGTTGAGTCCGAGTGTCTTCTCACAGTGGAAGGATGGACAGAAACACCTGTGGATTTTTCAGATCTGAAGCAAAAACTGGAGCTTGATTTTTCTCCTCCTTCTCTAAGATGAAAGCACTGTTTATCAGATGGAGACAGTCATGGCTGCTGCTCACGTCAGTGTTAGGAAGGGCATTTCCCATTTCTGTAATGTAAAATGTTTTCCTGTTTTTTCACTTATTTGTATCTAAGCTCCTCAATAATATCGCTTGAAAAATGAATCATTTGTAAGTAAGGGCCGCTTTAACTGCAAATTAAATAAACGTAGGCTGGTCTTTGACTTTTGCACAGTACATTTTCCCTGTTTTCCTCTCCACAGACCAGAGGTCGAGAGGTGACATCACACACCGAACTGTAGGTGAAATGTGTAGGCCGGTCACATGATCTGTAATTACGGACGCGTCATGATTGTGAAGAGGTTTCTGATTGGACGGAATGAGCAGAGAGGCGGGAAGAGCTGAGAGGTAGAAAGTCAAACAGGTTGGGCTAGTTTTGCTTTCCGTGCCAATGTGAGCGTCCGGTCCACTCGTGTTCTCTCTCACACAAAACCATTAGACTTTTAATGAAATTGCGAGTGTCTCTTCGGTCTATAAGGACGCATTTGGAATTCTGGAGCTTCTGGAGCTTTAAGAGTGAAGCAGAGAGGCCAGTCTTAGAGACACAAACACAGGTGAGTGAGATGTAGAGCTGAGGTAGGAGCGCGTGCCTGTCTGTGTTCCTGCTAGTTCTCGCTTAAATGGCTAAAAATGTGTTTAACCTTATAGTGTCTTAGTCACAGGAACCTTCACCAGAATAACTTCTCTGAGCTGTATACAACATTTATATGCGGTATATTCTTAAAAATATGGGTCTTCAGTGGTTCTTTAATAAAGAGGATGGCTCTGTTTAGAACCACGAGTTCTGACTATGACCATTTCATGCTTAAATGGTTGTTTGCATGGTGAAGTGGAACCATATACAGCAGATTCTCCATCACTCTGAAGAACATTTTCACTTTTATTTAAGCTTGAAATGGTTCTACATAGAACTCATGGTTCTAAATAGAACCATTGGCTTTGCTGAAGAGCCCTTGAAGAACCATCTTTTTTAAGAGTGTACACATTATATATTTATCTTGTTGTAGTATCTGTGTGTGCGTATGTGTTTGTCTATGCTTCTGCCTTTTATTTTACTTTCATACTCGGTCTGATCATGTTCAGGCATGTCTCATCATTCCAGTGAAATCTATCTTGACTACATTTGAGAACGTTTTCAGTCTGGGTTTGTCTAAGCAAATGTAAAGGGACCTGTGATATAATTTTGGTAACTTGATAATGTTGAAGTTTAACACCTCAGCGCTATGCGAGGTGTGCCAGGTCCGGTCTGGCTATTTTGACTTCTACTAGGTAATGTTCATGTTACATCTTGCTTTCCTTGTGATGAAGGTCTCAAATGGTCATCTCCAGGGATGCACTGATAATGGACCAATGCAAGTACCTGACATTTTTCTTTGTACATACAGTGCTGTGCAAAACTCAAAGACCACCTTTCATTTATATAATTCCCAGTCAAAAGTTGTTCATTTTTGGGGTAGATCCATCAAGAGATAACCAGTACTTAAGGCTTTCGCCTTCGAGAAAGAGGAGAAAGACAAGCTTCACTTTTGCTTTAGATCTGAAAAAAAAATCCACAGGTGTTTCTGTCCACCCTTCCACTGTGAGAAGACAACTTGGTGCTATGAGTCTGAAGGGATGTCTAGCTGTCAAAAAGCCCTTATTGAGAGAGTAAAGCTAATCAAACAAAGAAGCTGTTGGAGTTCTCAGAACAATGGACTGACCACTCCAAAGTCCAGACCTCAACCAGGGTTATTATAGTTTTTAAATTTTCATTATTTTTTCATTTATTTTTTTTGTTTCAGCTTAGTTCCAGTTAGTTTTAAGGGTGCATTAATAGTTTCAGTTCTCTTAGTAGTTTCTTAAAAGCAATGGTTTTGTTTGGTTTCAGTTTTAGTTGTTATTATATATGGTATATGTATTATGTTGAGTGCTATGATGACAGGTATTTGATAAGGGTACAATAGAATTAACACAACACTAGACTGAGCTTGGCTCCAACTTTCCCTTAAAATTGCCAAATGCAGAAGAGATTCGCTTCTAAACTCTTTTTGAGAAACAAAAACTAAAGGTTTTTTCTCAGTAATTCTATTTTGTGCTAATTAGTTTCAGAGCAGACATTATAGTATCCATTATATGGATTGTGAGAAGCAGAACATGCAACCAATGTCGAAGACTGAACTTTGGATGTGTGGGAAAATATCCCTGCACATTTCCTGGGAAAACTGAAAGTAAGTCTCTGGAAGCTGTAATAAAGGCAAAGGTTGGACACACTAAATACTGATGTGATATTATATTTAGTTGTTGAAGCTTCTGTGTACATCTTTGCCTTTTACTGACACTGAAATGATACTTACTGGCTGTTTTGACTGGAAAGTAAATAAATGGAAGGTGGCCTAAACATTTACCAAATGTACAAACTGGGATAGTACCCACCTGCTGTAGTATTACAGAAAAAATCAACATTTAGGGCTCCTTCCATTGGGATATAAATGCAGTAAAATAAATAAAATAGACATTTTAGCACATTAGCCCACCATTGCCTAAATATAATACTCTTCCAGAGCACAATAAGTATCAAATATAAGCTCATATCATTAGTCAAATCAAAACATGGGTCATCATTGTGTGTCCCTACAAATTACTACAACAAACCGTAAGTACAGTATTGTCTGTTTTTGCAGGAGTTAGAGAATGTGTGTTTGAAAAAGAAGGAGGGGGAAGGTTGCTGCTGAAAGAATGATTGAGAGACACAATGAGAGAGAAAGAGCCCTCTAATAATAGGGAAGATGAGTGCGGTACAGTACAGAGAGAGGTTTGCCCTTTGTCCTCAGGTGGAGCTGAGGCTTGTGTGGAATGGAGGAATAGAGGAATGGCAAACATGCACACAATGTGTAACAGTGCAGTTCTCCTCAGAGTGTGCAGAAACAAAGTTAACATTTATTAACAGACTCAGGACACACAGGTTTGACTTTGCTTGTGAAGGTTTCTGTCCCTTTGTGACTTCAGGGTCATGTTCTCTTCTTTTGAAGCCCACATTGCATTCCTCAGCTGTAATGTAAGAAAGACTCTTCACACAGTTGTGGAAATTGATCCTGCGGGTTGGTTAGAGCCGTGACGCCAATGGTGCAGCGTCCCTCAGGTGCAGCGTGTCTGTTTTTACCTACTGCTTAGTTGTGAAGCAGTACTGATGTATGGAGAAGCTGTGGTGTTAGCCAGTGGATAGACATGACTGGCCTTGTTTTTGTGCAGAATGCTAAGTGACTCTAGTGTGTGTCTGCATGTTTGCCTCTGTGGGTGTGCATGTAATCGAGTGTGTCTGTGCCTGCAAGTGTGCATACATTTAGTACTAGACTGTGTTGATGGTATTGTCTGCACTGTTGCAGATTGGTATGCCCTGAAATGTAAATACTGGGCCAGTGATTATATCTATATCCCAAGTTTACATTTGTTAAGACAGTATTCCCTAACACCATACAAATGATGATAAATTCTGTATGCTGTGAAGAGTCATAAGTACCTGAAGGATGGGCCAGTTGACCTGTTCACTGGCCAAATGACCAATCAGTGCTCCTCTCTCAAATGTCTTCTTTTGTAGAACTGTTGTGAGGTGGGACAAGGTTTTTTTTTTTTTTTTTTTAGGAATTGTAGTATGCTTTGTTTAGAGTTGCTACATAATGTGGAGTTTACACTTGAAAAACTATGCTGCTGGGTGGAGTTCCAATTTTCATACATAGGATAACATACATTCAATACTTAAAAACTTAATAATGTAATACATAAATAAAAAAATCTTAATATAAAATAAAAAATAAAATTTTGTGATTTACATGGTTAGTAGTGGGTGGTACGGTCAAAAATGTATATCACTGTTTAATTAAGATGACTGACTATATATCATGGTATAGTGTATTTACGTGCATATTTATTTTTTTCTAAATAAAGCCATGTTGATTCTTAAGTAAACCTTTTTTGTAGATTAACAATGGTGTATTATTCTGGGTGTCCACTCCCTTTTAAAAGAACCACATTTAAGTGAAGTAGATTAACTGAAGTAAATCTAAAATATTTTTTATGGGGCAAATTGTAAAAACAGAAATGAACAATACATAGATCAATATATAGAATAACGAACAACATATAGTTTAGCCTTAGTCTGTATATTGCTTTCTAAACCCCAGGATATGAAGGCACATGTATGTAAAGCCCACAGCACCTTCTCTGAGCGTGGCAAAAACGTATATATAAAAGCCTTAGTTTAAACCCAAGACTTGTACCATGTGGGCTAAATGAACACAGTAGCACATTTACAGTACTGTTGAAACTTTTATTCATTTAATTTCCACTCTAAATCGCTTTTAAGGACAAACCTTCCATTCTTAGGAGAAAAAAAACTCCCCTGACTACTCTAGTACTGTGACCTTTCACACACATACAAAACAAATGCACTAATACACCATACATTTTGGTGAAGCAGTTTTTCTTTTGGTTGAAGGAGATTTCTTTTTATTTTTTTTTCCTTTAAAGCTTGTCCAATCACACAACAGTTGCTACAGAATAATCATTTGAGGACATATATTTGTTTTTGTTTCTTTTTTTGTTTAAACAATTCTCTTTGACAATACCAATATTATTATGGATCCCTAGTCATGAATAGTAGTCTTGACTTTGGGCAAGGTTAAAATATCTCTTTTCTCTTCCTTATTACGGCAGACCTCGTCTTGCATTACTGCACATCCTGGGAGACCAGAGACCTGCATTACTGTATTACTAAATACTGACTGTAGCTTCTTTTTGCCTGCTTTACAGGACTGTGTGGCAGAACAGAAGAGAATAAACAATAGGGAAATTGATTACTGAGAACACCTGTTCCCAAGGATGTCTGTGGACACTCTGGATCCATCTTCACGGAGACTGGCCAAAATGCCTGATGCCACACAATCATCTCCAGGCCCCCGCAAGCCAAGTGCAGTAGAGCGCCTGGCGGCCGACAAGGCCAAGTACGTCAAGAGCCAGCAGGTGGCACCGAACAAGCAGATGCCAGTCGTCCGCAAACCTTTGATGACCCCGAACAACAGCAGGCAACTTCGGCCAGGGGCCATGCAACCAACTCGCAAGGCTCCCACCAGGTCCACTGCAAGTTGTGAGGCTCCACCACTGGACTTAGAGCACTTGAGCAACTTGATTAATGGAGTTAGTGATACCATGGTACTTTCCGCTCCTCCACAGTCAGGCGGTCCTGAGAAAACGGACAAGTCTGAAGGCTTCAACCCATCCCAGCCTCTGTCCCTGACTTCACCATTGGATGAAGAGTCTTCCATCAAGTCCATTTCGTCTACAACACCTCCAATGAAGTTGTTAGCAGATGGGCTGGGAGCCAGCGCGTCTTGCACGGTTACAGTCCGGAGGGTGGATGTTAGGCCACAGGTGCCACAGATGAGGAAGCCATGCAGACCGCAGCAGCAGAACCGTCCACCCTTGCAACTGCCCGAGCAGCGTGTCCACTCGCAGCTTCTGCAACTGCTCAGGCCGTACACCCAGCCTCAACCACAGCCACTAAAACCCATTGGAATCATAAGCAGACGAGATGTAGTTATCCCCAACCTGATTCCACTTAAATCATCTACAAGTCCAGTCCAAACTTTGCCCCTTTCTGCAGAACCCCTAAAGAGCCCAACTCCTGCTTTGCCTTCTCCAGTTAGATCCCCAAAAGATACAATCCCTGATGTCCCACCACTGGCTTCTCCAGCCGTCAGATCTTCTGCGTCCACCAGCAGTGTCCCACCACAAAGTTCTCCAGCCATCACCCGCAAGTCCTCGGTAAGCTCCAGGAAGCGTTCCTCACTCACCCGCTCCAAGTCAGACGTCAGTGATCGCTTCTCCCGTGCTGGCGCAGAGGTCGAACGCTTCTTCAACTACTGTGGCCTTGACCCTTCGGACTTTGAGGAGCTGGAGCCTGGCTCCGACATTGCATCCGTTTCAAGGCTCAGGAGCGCAAGTGCCCCTGCTTCAGAGCGCTCGGCTGAAGGACAGGAGGAAGATGAGGAAGAGGAAGCAGCTAAAGATGAGAAACCCAGCTATGGCATTTCAGTCATCGAGAGGAACGCACGGGTCATTAAGTGGCTGTATGGAATGCGCCAAGCCAAGGATAGCACCAAGGTTGCCAACGTGTAGCCTGCAGAGAACAGAGGCAAGCTGCATGGATTAATACTTGCTCCTTGCTGTCCACTGCCACTATACTTCTTTAAAGCACTGACAAATTTCTTTCCAACAGAAGACTTACTATAAAGAACCCTATCGCCTGTAGCAACAATGATCTTTGCTGATCTTTAAGGGCTTTAAAGGGTTTAAAAGAAATGATCAGGGTTTGGCAACGTCATGTCTGCTGTTGCTGCTGCTGGAATGGTAATTGCTGGATTGATTTTGTGTACTACCCTCTCCATCTACTTCCAGAAAACCTTACCTAGTGCTTTGGCTGAAAAAAAAAAACTGGTGACTAACAAAGGGCTAGAGCTTAGGTCTTCAAATTCAGAAGTTTCTGGTAATGGATTTTTTCTGGATTTTTGACTCTACACCAGGTGGGCCGTGTAGGTAGGGGATTCTACTAAAATGGGCCGCAAGTGTACTTTTTATGGATTTTCAGGAAGGATGATGTCTGTTTTTGTGTCCTGTTCTTCAGCATGAGAAATGACCACTCCAACTTTTGTGTTAATATTCATAATATATATGTATATGTTTTTGCACCAAAGTGTTCATGTTTTCTATAGCTAAGGGGTTTGTGAATGGCCTAACTCAGCATTCTTTGGAACAGTTTTGTTTTGTTATATACGGCCTCCACTTTGTGAACTGAGGGCAAGGGACTATGTCAGTGTCCATTACATTGCATTTATAAACAGTGTTGACTTCAGATGATGATAGATTGACATGATAAAACAGAAATGTTAATAAATTGAAGCCAGTTTTAATTGTAGTTCCACTCATTTTGTTCAGTTATTACATTCCGTCTTGGATTAGGTCAGTTAGAAGTATTGAAAACATTGAAATAATGGAAGTAATAGAAGTAATGGAAAGAGACTGAAAGTTGGATTGTTTTTCTGAGGGTGGTGTTCATAACAGTAACTGGTATGAAAATAGCTTGCAGCAGAATATAACAGATGAAGGTCACAAACTGTATTGAAGAGATTTTTTTCAGTTGTTTCCTGTGATTATGGGCAGGAAAAGCAGAGTAAATGTGAGCCTTGCACACTTTGCCAGAGGTGGCTGTAGCTTCTCTGAATGTCCATCAAAATTCAGGAACACACAGCATGACCAGATTTTTCTTTCTTTTCTGCTGCCCTTCTCTCTGAATCAAACCCAGAATTTAGTTTCATCTAGATTTGCCTTTGAAATGTTATGCAGGCACACCAATGATGTACACTGTTAAAACTAAGGGTTCCTAGATGGTTCTTAGCTTGGAAGTACAGTTCTAGGCAAACTTTAGGTATAGAACCTTTGTTATGTGGAGGTTCTTTTTCAGTAAACATGATTTATAAATCTTAGCGTAATTTCCTTTAGTGCACTCTGAGAATAAAGTTTCCAAAAAGTGTTATTTGACAAGACCATTTTGTCAGTTGGTGTAGCATAGTGGGTAACGTGGCACCTCAGTTCCCCACTGCGGATAGGGCTGCCCACCGCTCTGGGCAAGTGTGCTCACTGCCCCTAGTGTATGTGTTCACTAGTGTGTATGTGGTGTTTCACTGCACGAATGGGTTAGATTGCGGAGGTGAAATTTCCCTGTTGTGGGACTAACAAGGGTCACTTAATCTTAATCTTAAATTTTGTTGCCTCTAAAGGATGAGTTCATTTATTAGAACTTTTGCTGTGACTGTCTCATTCATAAGGTTGGTTCTCTTAAGGATCACTCATTGCGTTGATGCATTTGGCAGGCATTCTTATCAGTTACTATTATCATGTTACAAAGGTAGGCCAATGTAGTGTTTGGAGTCTTGCCCAACACCTGTTGGTATAACATGGTGTATTTGCCCAGGCAGGGTATTCATATATTTGCCAATGACAGTATATAAATGTGAATAACCTTTTTAAGTCTTTAAGAACCTAACGTAAAGGTTCAAGGACAATGGTTTACATTATGTGAAAGTTCTTTAAACCTTTTAAAAGTTCTTCATGGTCAAAAATCTTTTTAAATATTTTTAAGCTTGATTCTTTAGAGGACCTAAAGTGGTTCCTATGAGGCATTGCTCAAAGAACCCTTTATGGCAGTGTGCTGTGACATATTTCCCAATTGAAACATGGTACCAGAGAGGATCTAGTGGAGCTCGATGATAGATGGTGGTGTTGGGAGGGGTTTGGTAAAAGGTGAAATTGGTTAATATAATTTTTTCATTTTTTCAACGATTTAGAGGTGAGGAAAGTACTTACATTTTGGTGGAAGATGACGGAACGCAAGGATTTGTTAAGTGGTTTATGATGAATTGTGCTTAACGCGACCAGGGACATGAACTAACAAGGAAAAAATGTCCACTTTGACTTTCAAAAAGTGGTTCTTTATAGAACCATCTATTGAAAGCCTCTTTCAACAGATGGTTATTCTATGGTTTTGCTCCACACAATCCTTTCTAGCACTGTTTTTCAGAGTGTGGGTGATTTGCTAGTCACCATGGGAGTCGGAGTAAAAGGATTTTTTTTCTTTGCCAGTGCTTTGTGTTTTGTAAAACTAATCATGTGATTGACAGGAGCTGTGGTTGATGGGCGGAGTTTCAGTGTGGGTATTATCAGGTACACACAGGTAAGCATGTTCTTAGGTTTCACTCTTCCCAGGCATTAGTGGTATAAGAAGAACAGACCTATGAATGTGGATTGTAGTAGTAGAAAAAAGGCAAGAAGATCTAGAAATTGCCCAAAAGACGGCTTCATATTTTAAATGAAATAGACATTGCATCTAGAAGGAGACTGGCGCCAGTATGACTCCCATTCAAGCACTGCAGGATAAACTACAGTCATGGAAAAGGTTTTGTGCCTGTACCGCTGCTGAACAGGAAGAAAGCACCAGAAAAGAAGAGTCTCACGTAAGTGCCTAATGTTTTATGTGATTGTTAAGAATCACAATCATATTTGATTTAATTACTGTGACATTTGGTGCAATCGTTGTGCATTACATAACTGTGTAAATGAGGCTAGAAATTACATTTTAATTCAAATGAACTACTGTCAGTCTTTGTTTTTAGGACATCAGGAGTGGAGGTTTATTTGATTGTCCTTTTTTAGGGTCGAGGTGGAATTCCTCTTTGCACTAAGTTATGCTATGCAGTTGGTGGTATTCCATATCAGACGACCAACATTGCCATGGCTTTCTCCTTCCAGATCTTTCTACTGGACGTTGTGCAGGTGAGAGAAGTCCCTAAGCTAGGCTGTGAGTGATAGTCCAGCATTGTCCAGTGTAGGGTTGAAATCAGGATTTTAGAGGTGGTGAGCTACCTTTATTGGCACTAAAAGTGTGGGAACAGTATCATTTATTTTGTGTTAGGGTTCTTAGCTTTAAGATCGCAGAAATGTGATTAAATATGATTTTCAGTATGTCTGTCAGTATTTGTATCTTGCAAGTACAGCTGCATCATATGGACATGGATGTTTAATAAAGCTAATGGAAAAATAATAGCTACTTAGCCCATTTTTGTGATGGGCACGTGTCACTGATGTGAAGCACTGATCTTAGGAAGCATTGAAAGCTGCTTGATATATAAACGGCCATTGAATAGTTTGATGTGAAGTGGTTCACTGTAGAGAAACAGGCTCAGATTTCTTTGCAGCATGATCACCACGATTGGAACCAGACGTCACAATGTCTTCAACAAAAATAGAGCCATTTGATTCACTTTCAAAAGCAATCAATGAACCTACATGTCTCTTTTTAGTATTATATACAGTATAATGCTGATAATGGTAAATAGTGGTCAGTCTGAAAAATAAGTTATCTTTGTTCTATTTTGCCTTACAACACCCTGCATGCATCTTTATGCTTACTGCCAATTCTCTACCTCAAAACTCTCATGAAACAAAGTCTCAGACATCAGACAGTGTATTCATAACCATTTCATGTAATAACTTTCTGTGAGGGAGCTTTTAGAGGCATTGAACTCTTCAGACGTCTGGTTCCTGTCACCACCACTGTGAACATTTCTGACTCACTAAGTTTCTCAAGAACAGAACATTTCACACCAAACCACACTTGAATGACTTTGTTTGCATCTCATTCCTGTAATTATGCAGAAAGATATTAAAGGCTAAGCAGGCTTACATTGAAAAAACATTGCATGTGTAAATACGTGTGACAATATGTGCGAATAATGCCATGCTCATGTGTTTCATTCCCCTGTTGGTACCTGTTCCAATTTAATTGAAAAGTAACAGTGAATAACAAAACATTTCAAAAGAAGCCAAGGGGTCCCCAAACTTTTATAGGGTAGTGTGTTTTCCAGACTACCACTTAATCTCCTGCTGAAATGACTAAGCCTGTATTGTTAATAAAAAGCTGCTGGCAGCATTTGTGCTCTTTATTGACTTCCTTTACTGGAATACGTAATGGATCCAGGCCTGTGCTGCACTGGGTTCATTTTTCACTCTCTCTGTCTGTTTCCTGTTTAGATCGAGCCCCTTTTCGTCTCTCTGATCCTGTTCGTAAACCGAGCATTGGACGCCCTCACTGACCCTCTGGTGGGCTACCTGGTGAGCAGGAGTAGGCGGAGCCCAATGGGAAAGCTGCTTCATTGGTGGGTGGGGTTATAAAGGGTGTGTTTTGTGGCATGATTAAACTCATTTTGATGAGCGTCAACAGGGATGAGTGATACCTTAGATTTTCTGTTTTAATGCCAAGGGAAAAGGGAAGTCTTTTTCTGCTGTGAAAATTGGTCAATGCAGACATGAATTAAAACAGGCTTTCTTCTGTTTCTCAGGTCAGTTTTGTCCATGCCAATGGGCGTTCTCTCTTACGCCCTCCTCTGGTTCATCCCTCACACTGCAGCCAGCTCCTCAGCCACTGTGGCCTGGTACCTCACAGTGAGCTGTCTGTTCGAGACCTTCATGAGTGTATGACCTTCATGCTTCTATTATGAGTTTAGGAGCCAATTTTCCAGACCCAGAGTAAACCTAAGCCTCAACTACAAAGCATATTTTCAGTGGTGTTTCATGATTGGCAGTTACATTACTGGAAAACTGCCCCTAAGAATCAATGAACAACTTAAAGGGCCCAACACCTACATTATTCTCATCTTATATTTCCACTGATTGTGTTTGTCTGGATTTATATATACAGAATGGTCATAATTTATTGTTATGTGACCATTTCCCAACTTCTTTTTATCTCTTACATACTATTAAACATACTGTGCTTTTAAGACTGATATACAGCCCTGTGCAAATATGTGAGCACCCTGGTCAAATTACAAGTTTTGTTGATTTTTAACACATCCTCTACAGAGGACATACTTAAATATGACAAATGTTTAGTGTGCAATTTCTTTTTATTTGCTAAATTTCATGCATAGGAGAAAACATTTTAAATTCAGCAGTAATTGTGCATTAAAACGTGTGATCTGTAGAGGATGTGTTAATGAATTTTCACTCAGAAAAGCAACAAAACATGTCATTTGACCAGGGCCACCCGAACTCTTGCATACAACTGTATGTAAATGAGCTGCGTTCCAATTGGCTGCCATTTATTAATTTTTTTATTCGAAGAGCGGTGCAGGCTGAAATATGCCTTATATCTTCAACGTGAATACTCGGGGCTAAACTGCTATAGACAAAATAGGCCAATATATGTAAATTTGGTGACATCACAAAAACAGTAAATGTTATGCAATGTTTGCATAATACATCAAACTACAAGTTTTAAAAAGTGGGGAAGTTTTTTGCTTTCTGTGATGTGAGCCCTTTAACTAAAATGGCTTAATGATCTACTGCTAGTAATCCTACTGCTGATTGTTCTTCTTTATCTCCACAGTGCTATCATGTCCCATATACTTCCCTGAACATGTTCCTGGGAGGAAGTGAGAGAGACCGAGATTCAGCCACAGCTTACAGTAAGAACATTTCCCACACTGTGTGATGCTGATCTGGGTTAAACGTCAAAAAAAAGTTCACAAACAAGCAGTGGAGGTGAATCTGTGAGACCAGCAAATGGACTTGAGACAGAAGTGCTTTACTTGGTGGTCATTAGTGTATTTTAAATTAAATGAGTGTATAATTTATTAGTTTTATATACTAGCTTTTAAAACTTTGGAATAATTTCAAAGCCAACTTCAAATTACTGGATTCTCTAATCATCATTTGTTGTTATTTTACAATTTTATTATTATTCAATAAGAACCGTAGAATTATTATAAACTAGACACCATAAATGATTTATTTAATGTTTGCAGGTTTTATAGAACAATGAGAAGTTATTAAATGGTGATGAACTGCAATTATCTATGTATAATTATGTTTAGTCATTTTATTATAATTTTTTTCAATTCTTGATGTTATAAAACTTTTTAATAAAACTTTTATAAATTATCTACTGTACAGTACTTATCTACAATATGTTTCTTATTATGATTCATATAAAATTGTGGAGTACTGTGATCATACACTATATTGCCAAAGTATCCACTCGCCCATCCAAATCATTGAATTCAGGTGTTCCAATCACGTCCATGGCCACAGGTGTATAAAACCAAGCAGACTGCTTTACAAACATTTGTGAAAGAATGGGTCGCTCTCAGGAGCTCAGTGAATTCCAGCGTGGTACCGTGATCGGATGCCACCTGTGCAACTGTCAACTGTCTGTGGTATTATAACAAAATGGAAGCGATTGGGAACGACAGCAACTCAGCTACACAGTGGTAGGCCATGTAAAATGGCAGAGCGGGGACAACAGAGGCTGAGGCGCATAGTGCACAGAGGTCACCAACTTTCTACAGAGTCACCACAGACCTCCAAACTTCATGTGGCCTTCAGATTAGCTCAAGAACAGTGTAGAGAGCTTCAGGGAATGGGTTTCCATGGCTGAGCAGCTGCATCCAAGCCTTACATCACCAAGCGCAATGCAAAGCGTCGAATGCAGTGGTGTAAAGTGCCACCACTGGACTCTAGAGCAGTAGAGACGTGTTCTCTGGAGTGACGAATCACGCTTCTCCGTCTGGCAATCTGATGGACGAGTCTGGGTTTGGCAGTTGCTAGGAGAACGGTACTTGTCTGACTGCATTGTGCCAAGTGTACAGTTTGGTGGAGGGGGATTATGGTGTGGGGTTATTTTTCAGGAGTTGGGCTCGGCCCCTTAGTTCCAGTGAAAGGAACTCTTAATGCTTCAGCAGACCAAGAGATTTTGGACAATTTCATGCTCCCAACTTTGTGGGACCAGTTTGGGGAGTTTGGCCCCTTCCTGTTCCAACATGACTGCGCACCAGTGCACAAAGCAAGGTCCATAAAGACATGGATGAGCAAGTTTGGTGTGAAAGAACTTGACTGGCCTGCACAGAGTCCTGACCTCAACCCGATAGAAAACCTTTGGGATGAATTAGAGCGGAGACTGCGAGCCACAAATGGAAGAATGGTCAAAAAACGCACTCCTAAACCTTGTGGAAAGCCTTCCCAGAAGAGTCGAAGCTGTTATATCTGCAAAGGGCGGGCCGACATCATATTAAACCCTATGGAGTAAGAATGGGATGTCTCAAGTTCATATGCGTGTGAGGGCAGACGAGCGAATACTTTTGGCAATATAGTGTATAATCATTTAATATAGCAACACTGCAAATTTTGAATGGTTTGGAATTACCATGGTTTTGCAGTCAGAGTTGCTATATTGACAACCTTAGCAAAAATTTGTTTGGGTTCAATAAAGCATCCATCCATCCATCCATCCATCCAGATATGAAATAATGAAGTATACAGTGTGGATTTAAGTATCACAAAGTGTTCACCAACAGGTCAAAAAAGGCTTATCTGGCTTGATTTGTTCTCCACTTTTGAAATGTGATGAATTCTGGATATTAATTTTATTATTAATTAATTATTGATGTTATACAGCTTTCTCCGTCATTTTAGAATCTGCAGCTTCGTTCGTAGTTCTGAGCACATCTAACATTTCTTAATATTTATTCACAGCGTTCTAGTATCCTTCTAATTATTTGAAATCTCTGAATTTGTAAAAACTAGCTTATTAGAATCATTTTATACATGAGTCTGCAACATTTGGTGTTGGTACTAATGAAAACATTGATTCAAGAATTCTGAACAGGTTTGAATGTTTTGCATTTGGAAATTTGCATCTCTCTCTCTCTCCCTCCCTCTCTCTCTAAGGGATGAGTGTGGAGGTGTTGGCGATGCTGTTGGCTGCTGTGATTCAGGGTCAGGTGTTGCGAGTGTATAATTCAGAGAGAGAGAGCTCCTGTGTGAATCTGGATGAAAATCATGGCGAGCTCACACACCCCACGCCTTCTCAGCCCTCCGCTCCTCTGCATCTCACGGTATAAGTGCTACACACAATATGACCTCAGTCTAATGTAGGCCCTTAGATAAGCTACAAGCACACAGGGGAGTGAAATACTTCAGTATTGAACTTTGTACAAATCTTCCAAAATAATGCTAATCACATTTCCAACAATAAACACATTTTAACTACTTACACTTTCATTTATATCTTCAAAGTGCTTGTTAAATTCTTGTGCATTTGAATTCATTTTTATTAAAACGGCCAACCAAATTCATATCATTGCAGAATGAAACTGCCCATAATGGCACTAACGGTATGAGCTAACATCAGTCGCCACACTGCTGTGGTTTGCCCTGTAAAACCTAAAATAATCATTTAGAAGTCAGAGGTTGAGTTGGATTGGAGTCCTTCGGACCATGTGAGATGCACAGGCTCAAAAAAAAAGGTCCAGCTCAATGATTACATCTCAAATGCAAAATCAACATTATACTGATGAAGATGGTGTGTAATTACACATTCCACCAGAGAGGTCTTCAAATCCCCAAAGTGTAGCTTTAAGTACAGTTTCTCTGGACTTTTACCACCTCTGCTGGCACAAAGTACAGTTCTGTTGTGTGGACAGTTTAGTCGTTGCGTGACTGGTGCACTCTCAGAACAGATGCTTTAAAAACACATATTGTGAGCTTGATCCCGCCGATGCCAGAGCCATGCGTCTGGAAGTCCAAGAGAGCATAATTGGTCTTGCGCTGAGTGGGTAGGATGATCCTCCATCTCCTGCCATCACTCAGCGTGATCTTAGCCAACACTGATGTCTGTTAGCTGATGTAACAATGTTGGCTGTTAGTGATCTACTTCAAGTGTGTTAAGCTGACGTTGCATCAGTGGCATTTAGACACAACTGTCTAAGCGTTGGCCCCGTTATCAGGAGATCGCGACTTTGATCCCTGGTGATGCTACAGCCATCCATGGCCGGGAGTCCAAGAGAGCACAGTTGGCCTCGCTCTCTCTGGGTGGGTAGGATGGCCCCTCCCTTCTCCCCCCCGTCACTCAGCACGATGCTAGTCAGCGTAGGCATCTGTTAGCTGATGTGGCAGAACTGGCGGTTGGTGCTTATCTTCGAGCGCGCTCGGCTGTCCAGTGATGTTGCATTAGCAGCAGTTTGAAAAGATGTGGTGGCGCTTCACAGGTCTCGGAGGAAGCCTTCACCCTCCTAGTGCTGGTGGTATCGTGGAATTGGATCCAGCTACACTGGGGAGAAAATTGGGGGAAAAAATTTTTTACAAACAGCATTGCGATCACATTAGCAGAAATAGCCAGTTTTAAGATTATTAAAATATTTTAAATGGATAAGTAGAGATGAAACGGTTACCGGTTTCACGGTAAAGCGCGGTAAAATTAATGACGGTTAGTAGTACCGTATGAAGTATCGTTAAAACCGCGGTCGATTACCGCGGTGTGAAAACTCGGAGATTCTGAGATATTTCAGATATTTCAGAAGACCAAGTCTGACGTTTGGTCATATTTTGGGTTTTATAAGGATGCAGAAGGAAAGTTAATTGAAGATGACCACCCTGTCTGCAGAACATGCCGAAAGAAAATAGCGGCGAAAGGGGGCGACGCATCAAACTTTAGTCATTTCGTGACCACCACCCGCTACTTTTTAGAGAATGCAAAGTTAACTTTAACGTAGAAGTCTGTGGGGACTTCGAAATAGAAGAAATGTCACAGTTTGTGTGGTTTAACCTATGCTTATGGTTCGTTAATAATATAAAATGAAGCTTTTAGCGTCAAAAAAAAAGAAAAAAAGAAAAACAATCAGTGAATCAACTGTGAATCGAAGCTTTTAACACATTTCTGTGGAGCAGTGTCTCCAAAATGAGCTCTGAGTTAAGTCACACAAGCTCTGGAACGAGACGCTGCAGAGGTTCAATCTGCACAGCTCCCCTTGCTCGTCTCGCTCGCAGTGTTTACTGTCTGAGAGGAGAGTAACACCGTCTCAAATCACTGTGTCCCCTACATAGTGCACTACTGTTCAAACAAACACGATCATCATTAACCAGCAGTTGAGTTTTAAATAGGGAATATGTAACCTGTTGTTAATGTTGATTATAAATGATTTAGTCGAACGTTTCCTGCACTCTTTGGGTGAAGAATTTGCTATTTCATGATCCACGAAGTGCACTACATTGGGAAGATAGTGTGCTTTGAGACGGGACCTCGCGAGTAAACGCTGCGTGCTGCTTTTAGGAAAAGCAGAGTTTCAGAGATTAAACTTTAGGAGTGTTTCTGCCGCAGCTCAGATGCATGTTAATTTTAAGTTATGTTTTAGATTTAAAATGCTTTTAGAGAAGCAGCTCCACAGGTGAACTCACACTGTGTGAGTTCTACACTGTCTGCAGCTCACAGCGCGGTCACGCAATTCCTCTGTGAGTTTGGCTGTTTTTCCTGGTGCACTGTATTGATTAGGGGTACAGCGCCACAACGGCACAATAATGCTGCAGCTGCAGTTCGGACAGAAATCCCCCGAGTGCAGCACTTCTTAGAAGTAGTAATTTTCCATTAAGACCCACCTCAGAGTTGGTCGAGATTTAATTCTCTATGCAGGGAAATCCCTAGGTATTGTAATTAATAATAATAATAATAATAATAAGAATAATAATAATAAGAAGAATAACAGTAATAATAATAAGAAGAACAGTAATAATAATACATTTGCTATTCTTTTGTTTACAGAGTATTACAAGTATTGTAAGTAATAGAAAAGTAATACTAAAATTGTATTGACCTTATTTTTTAATGTTTATGCAAACAAAAAAGTGCATATTGCTGCCAATTCTATTTGTGTTAATATAAAAGTTGGTGAAACGAGTTTCAGTTTGTGTATCAGTATTTATTTTTTTATTTATTTTACTCGTCAAAACATTTGAACAATATCGCGATAATACCGATAATCGTGATATGAAATTTTAATATCGTTTCATCTCTATGGATAAGACATGAAGTCATTCAGAGTGGTTTGATGTGAAATGCTTCATTTTCGAGAAACTTACCAAGTCAGAATAGTTCACAGTGGTGCTGAAATGGTTACGAACCTGCTGCCTGATGTCCAAGACATCATTTTACAATAATTGAGAAGATTTTGGCCCTTTTAATTCATCTGTGGTATAGAGGTACATGTGGAGCATTGTAAGGCAAAACAGTCCCCATAGAAAGCTTTCTTCAGGTTTACCACTATTTTCCTTTTATCAACATTACATATAAATCTCAGACACATGTAGGTTCACTGGTCATTTTGGATCCTATATAAAATGCATACATTTGCCTTGTGGCTCCCTGGTTCCTACCATCACCACTGTAAAGAAATTGGTTTATCTGCAATGAACCTCAGTGATTCAACATAAACATCTCAATAACGTTAACATCTCAATGATTGAATAATGCAGAAGTTTTATTTAACACACACAGTGTGTTCTTATTGTAGTCAGAGATGTGCTGTGAAATACTGATTATGCAAAAAGTATGTTGTTATTTAACACATTATTAATGAGAGTGAAATGTAAATGACAGATTTTTGTGTGTGTTTGCTCATCAGAGAGGGGCCTTCATGACCTCAGCTCTGGTGCTGGGGGCTCTTTTCTTCCTCTGCTGCATGTTGCTGTTTCTGGGTGTGAAAGAGCAAAGCGGTAAGTCTGCTGTTCACTTCATAACACATGGTATTAATGCATTTGACGTTAGTTGTTCAGTTGCAAACATCTTGGTTCATCACCTTCTACCAAAACATGCAGGAAACCCGCCAGATAGGCTGCGTAATCTTCCTGCAGTGCAAATTTCAGGTTCTGCATTAAAGATGGATTTTCATTTCAAGGGGGTCAGGACGGGCAGATTGGCCGGCGCAGGTCATACCTGAAAGATCTGAAGATGCTGATTGGCCACGTCTCCTATCAGCGCCTGGTCCTGGGCTTTCTCTTCTCATCGCTCGCCTTCCAGGTCGGGGCATCTACTCTGAACATAATCGTCACCAGCAGATGGTGGCTGTGTCTGAAATGATCTGTCCAGGTTCTGCCCACAAATGCCTTTTTTCATAACTGTTGCAAGGTTGTGCAAGCTTTACAGAGTGTTGGCAAAATTCACATTCAGAGAAACTGAGAACATGAGAAGGAGAAGCTGTAGTGCATAACTGCAGCACTTGATTGTGTAAATTTAGTGTTAAGTGTGTATTTCAAATTATTTTTTTTGTATTTGTGGTCACATTATTAGAACAGATCATGTCCATTCCTTTTTGGTGTAACTGAGTCTTTTTAAGGATAAATATCTGGTTGAAAGGCTGAGCAGAAACTTCAGCTGTTCTAACCAACTTTAGCGTCATGCCCTACACCACAGGTTCCTAGCTGTAATGCTGTAGGACCTCCTGCCTCAGGAACCCCAGGGTTACACTATTATGTGCTGTAGAATGGCTGATACACTATGGGATTTAGAGGCAACTTTCCCGCTTATACTAGCCATCGATGCATCATTCTGCTATACTGATTTAAAATCAGAGTTAAAAACACACTGCAGTCTTTTAACTGACTTGGGCTGAAATCCTTTTGCTTGGAGTGATGCTATACTTATGTTTATTTTATTAAAACAAATGAAAGAACATTCTATTTTGTCAATAACAAGACAATCATACCACTACCCAAACTTCAGCAAATGTTTCAGTAGTGACTGTTACGGTAAAGACCATTTTAGCTCATTTTGAGCAGAACTCAAAAACATTAGTCAGTACATGACTAGCAAACACAGCTTTGAACAGTTGTACCCATATAAAATCAAAATATTTGTATTAAAACACAACTAAAGGTTTACTTAACTGAAGACAATGTGTCTGTAGTGACAATTCTTAATGTTACACACTGTTTTTTAGACTTTGGGACAAATTTAATTCGAAGTAAAGGGATCGAACTGTTCCATAGAAGTGATTGTGCATAAACTAAACACCTAATTGTTGTTTTTTGTTTTTGTTTGTTTGTTTTTTGTGTTTTGTTTTTTACATTTTTTTTACTGTGGGCCTGCTGTTTGAACTAATAAATAGTAATAGACTAGTAAAATAAGAGACTAATAAAATATTAATAAACTAATAAATACTAATATAGTCCATATTCAGACTGCAAAAACAGAAAGGCAACCACAAAGGCTTTACACAAGCAACATTAGCTCAGACAACAGAAAACTGACCTTTCCCATGCATACAAAATATAAATTATTTGTAATGAATAACCCACTCTAACTTTTTTTGATGAAAAATCTCTGGTGTGCTACAGTTTCTCATTGATTGGATGGGATTTTTGTCGTTGTTGTGTAAAGCTTGTGCTGCTGGGTGGTTGAGGGTGGAGAAAAGATTAGTTAGGTTATTTTTGTATGTAATGCTCTATATGAAAGGACTTCACTTTGAAGTACACAACAGTACTATGTGGTTGGTGGCATCAAATATCACCAGATTAGGCTGACATAAGCTTGTTTTGTACTTGAGATAAGTCAGAATGGTTGTAAATTTTTCATTTTTTTTTTTCAAGTGGACAATTGAAATGTCAGGGGAATATGTTTTGTTTTGGGGTAAAAGATGGCTTTGTGCTCCATTGTTGCGTGCCTTGTATTAACATTGTTTACAAAACTTATTACTTTTTTTCCTATTTTATTGTTAAGCCTGTTATTTTTGCATTGATTTTCATGACAACATGCCACCACAGGCCCACTATGGACTATGCACTGCCTGTCCAAATAACCAAATGACCAGATTCACTAGAGAATATAGCTTTAAATCTTCACATCAATAAATGGACTTTGACCTGTTTTGGAACTGTTCCCTTCTAGATGTCTTTAGGAAACTTTGCTTTGTTCTGCATTCATGTGGCAGGATTGGGGGCTCAGTTCCAGAATCTCATGCTGGCTATATTGGTGAGTGCTGTAGAAAGAAATGTTCAATAATAAAACGCCGTGTTTAGGTATTTATTCAGTTTCTAATAAGTAAGTTAAGACTAGCTTTAAAATGTGTAGCTTGGCAGGTACTTCATTAGATAGTGATACAATTGAGTATGATTGAGGTCTTCATTGGGACTATGAAGAAACAGGCTACATACACAGTGCTATGAAAAAGTATTTGCCCCTTGCCTGATTTCTTCTGTTTTTGCTAATTTCACATTTAAATGTTTCAGATCATGCAACGCTACTTTTTTTAATGAGATAAAGACAACAAAAGTAAACATAAAGCGCTGCTTTTAAACGCTTTTATTTCGGCTACATTGGAGGGTTTTTTCGAGCATGAACTGCCTATCTGAGGTCTTAAGAATCTCATTAGAATTCAAGTCAGGACTTTGACTCGGCCACTCCAAACCCTTAATTTTGTTTCTTGTGAGCCTTTCAGAGATGGAACTGACAAGAAGACGTTCCCTTTCAGGATTTTCTATTAGAAAGTACAATTCATGGTTACATCAGTTATGACAAGTCATCCAGGTCCTGCAGAAGCAAAGCAGCCCCAGATCATCACGCTACCACCACCATGTTTGACCATTGGTACAATTTTCGATGTTCTTATGGAGGAACGTGGTGTTAGCTTTACGCCAGATGTAACGGGACCCATGTCTTTCAGAAAGTTCCACCTTTTACTAATCCGTCCACAGATTATTATTCCAAAAATCTTGGGGGTCATCTGGATGTTTTTGGGGAATGTGAGAAGAGCCTTTTTGGTTATTTTCGGTCAGCAGTAGTTTGCGCCTTGCAACTCTCCCATGGATGCCATTTTTGCCCAGTGTCTTTCTTATTGTGAAATTTTTGGCCCGCAAATCCAGGGAGGGTTCACCACTAATACCATGTTTTCTCCATTTGTGGATAATGGCTCTCACTGTGTTTCGCTGGAGTCCCACAACATTAGCCATGACTTTGTAACCCTTTCAGACTGGTAGATTTCAATGACTTTGTTTTGTGTCTGTATTTGGATCTATTTAGAACGTGGCATATGTGGTGCTTTTTGAGACCTTCTAGCCTGCTTCACATTGCCAGACAGTTCTATTTATGTGATGTTTAGATTCAACAGGTCTGGCAGTAATCATGCCTGGGTGTGGCTAGTGAAACTAAACCCAGTAGTCAATTAAATTTGGGTAACTGGCTAAATTAGAAGCTAAGGGGGCAGTTACTTTTTCACATAGGCACAGGTTGACTGAACAGCATTTTTCCTACATGAAATAAAATCATCATTTAAAAACAGCATTTTGTGTTTACTTGGGTTATCTTTGTGTAATATTAAAAGTAGTTTGATGATCTGAAACATTCAAGTGTGACAAATATGCAGCAATAATAGAAATTGGGGAGCACTGTAGACATTTGAGTATTGTTTATCTTACTAAATGCATTGAGGATATACACATCATTCCAAGTGATCTGAAGCTTAAAGCTTTGCTCGCATGAGTGTGATTCTTGTTTGTTTTTCTCTACAAATAGGTTGCAGCTGCTGTATCCGTGCCTTTGTGGCAAATGACTCTGGTGAGGCTGGGAAAGAAGAGCACGCTGTTTATTGGCCTACCTGTAAGTTCACACCTTCTCTTTCTTCTGCAATGATGACTGTCATAATGATTGTGAAGAAAACTGTAAAGTTAGTGGTTCTGATATCATGAAATGATTATGGAAGTTGAAAAACGTATGTATTCATAAGCATAAACAAACATATTTAAAAAATGAACTTGGTATGGGGGGAAAAAACTATTTAGACACTATATTAACATCTATATGTAGAGGTTCTAGATATTAATGCACAAAAAATTAAGTTCTAAAAATGAATACTGCAGCAAAGAAATGTGCAATTTGAACCTGGTGTCATTATAAAAGATGTTGCCATTGATGGGGAAGATTTCATGAAACAAGTATCAGTCATGGAAAAGGTGAAGGAGTGTCCTGAAGTTTTCAGCAACAACATTATTAAACAACACTACAATGAAAAAAGCTACAGCGTCCTAAAACATCCCTGTCAGTACAGTTGGTTTGATAATAAACAAGTGGAAAATGCAGAAAACCACAACTAAAGCCAGCAGTCAGTCGAAAAGAGTTGTGGGATGACCTAAAAGCAGAAGGAACAACAGTTACACAGAGAACAATAAACAGTGCACCACAAACATCTCTGTTTCTACACTCCACATAAAACTCCTCTGCTAAAAAAGAAGCACAGAGAGGCACGTCTAAAATTTGCATACAAGAATTACAACTGTTTTGGAACGATGTACTCTGATCAGATGAAACAAATAGAGAAATGTTTGGCAGTAATTCAGCTCGACATGTTTGGAGAAAGAAGGGTTGCTTGTATGATCCCTGGAGCACAATACTCACAGTGAAGCATGGAGGTGGGAGCATCATGATATGGGCTGCCTCTCTGCAAACAGTACTGGAGCATTACATGTCTTCAGAGTAAACATGAATGGAGCATCATACCAGGACATATTAGAGGGGAATTTAATATTATCTGGCAAAAAACAAGATAATGACCCCAAACAGCTGGCCAAATCAACTCAAGGCTGGTTTCTACAAAAAGGTGAAGGTGCTTGCACTTGACTCTGCTGACTTGAATCCCATTGATAATGTACGGAGGATTCTAAAATTGAGTCTGCATTCATGCGGCATTCATGAGTCCACCAGATTTGAAGACAGTTTGCTAGGAGGGATGGGCCAAAATTGCTAGAATGTTGGAAAAAAGCTAATTACTTCTTACTGTAGAGGTCCCAAAGTAAATGCCAGTAGTGACTTTGCAACAAAGTACCAATGTTATTAATTTGTGGTGTCTGAATACTTTTGGTTTTTAAAACGTATCTTTGTTTACTGTTAAGAACACTTGTTTCCGCTCACTGTAGGGGTGACTTTGACAGTTATCAGCTGTATGTTACAGATGCAGCAGACAGAAATTAATGCCTAAAAAAGCGTGATTAGCGTGAGTGATTATGATGATGATTATTGTGATTAAGAACCATTTTTATATCTTTTATCGTAAATCTCTGCTGTTTGTTTCTGTCCTATAACAGCTCCTCATCCCTGCTCTGATCGTCTTTGTGTCCGTGACGGAGAACTTTCCAGTGTATGTGGCCGTGTGTGTTCTGGTTGGGGCCAGTGTAGCTACACTGTTCTTGTTACCATGGTGAGTAAAGCCAAGACCTAGATCTGTCTGCTTTAGTCCTATTCATCTCCCGTAAACAGGGCAGCACTGCTATAGTGGCCATCCACATCCATAATGTACCACTTCTGTTATCCATGCAGGCCTTCTTGGATGGATTTCAAATCTGATGTTGTTGCCTTCACTTATATATAGTTTGGTTAAAGACTAGGAATGCAGAATTGTATTGACGCATCATGATGTTTAGATCCAGAATCTATGATGGTCTATTAGTATGCATTCATTTCTGGCCAAAATAAATTGTGTTTGGGATATTTATTAATATTAAAGAAGTTCGTCTCCTATCTGTGCATCGTCTGTATTCCAGTGTTGTGTTTGTGTATTTAGTGTATTTTAAATTCTTAACTGAATCCAATTGTGGTGAAATTTCAGATTTCATGTCGCACTGAATCATTTTCTGAAGATTTGTAATTGAACAGAATCATCCAGTAAATGAAAGAAATTCAGATTACAGTATCATAAATATCAGTAACTTCTTGCGTATGTTTGTCAGGTCCATGCTGCCGGATGTGGTAGATGATTTTGCGCTGCAGAACCCCTGCTGTACGGACCTGGAGCCCCTGTTCTTCTCCTGCTCTTGCTTCTGTAACAAGCTCGGTGGTGGGCTATCTGCTGGCATCTCCACCATGACGCTACAGTGAGTCATCTCTCTTATCTCCCACGCTCTACAGCACTATACCAGACTTCAGCACTGTCTTAAAGGGACAGTACGCTACTTTTTCAATTGCCAATGTTGGGTAATTTACCACAGCATGATGAAGAGAAAAAATGAGAAATGTATGAAAAAATACTCATTCATCATTTCTGTGATGTGATATACCCCAGAACTTAAAAGAGAAGACCAAACATTGAATTTCAAAAGAAAGATAGATTATTAAAGTTAATAAGAAAAACAAAAATAGGAAGCTTAAAGAATGGATGAAAATGGAGAAAAGTAATCTCAACAGGTTGACACGCATAACCTCACACACGCATGTGGATTATGCTTAACTAAGGTAAAAGCTTAAAGAAAGAAAATCAGCAGTTGAGAAAGAAGAGAGAGCGAGGGAGCGGGAGGGAGGTAGGTAGGGTGAGGTGAGGTGAGGTGAGGTGAGAGCACCCACAGGTATCTTCCCCATCTAACAGACTTGGTCAAAGCAGTAATAGTTTTATGCAGGTTATATATACACACTTGCAGTTCTTTAGCAAAAAAATGGTTCTATAAAGAAACATAAACTCTCAAAGAACCCTTTGCATGATTAAAGGGTTCTTTGCATCGTGAACGTGTTCATCAGATTGATGAAGAGTGTGTTTTTATATGGTTCTGTATAGCACCAAAAAGGGTTATTGTTACAGGCTTGACATTGCAACAATAGAAGAACCCTTTTTGGTGCTATATAGAACCGAACGCTTTTCAAAAAGGTTCCAGCTACCTCACATTCTCTATCAATCTGAAGAACAATTTAATGATGCAAAGTACCCTTTAAGCATGCAAAGGGTTCTTTGAGTGTTCATGGTTCTATATAGAACCTAGTAAAGAACCATTGAGGAACCATAATTTTTGGTCATGGTTCTACATAGAACCATTTTCTTTACTAAAGAACCCTTGAAAAAACATACTTTTTAAAAGTGTAAAGTAGAGAATCTACATTTACAATTGCTGTTTCATCATTACAAATCAAAACTGTTATAATAGAGACTTGGATTGGTTCAGAAAGCTAACTGAATACAGTATCATTGGTCAGGTTCGGTCAACAAATACAAGCTGTGTTCCGAAGCCTAGGCTGCAGCCGAGGTAGTGCGGGTTCTCGGTAGGACTGTCCTATGAACCCTCCTCCTTATTAGCCTACTGGTCACATAAGTGGAACAGTCCTAGCGAAGCTGCATGGTGATGTTACCAGAAAGATCCCACCTCTTGAAATTGCAGCACGAAACTTGTGAGGGAACTGGTGAGAGACTTTTCAAGAAAATACAATATATGGAAGAAAGCTTTAATTAAATCATTAATTTTACACTTTATAAGGTCATGAAGACGAAATCAAGGATGTGAACAACTTACATTTTAAGCTCTGCTCCAATGGCTTCGTTTTTCGTCTTTTTCGTGGTGCTGTTGCATCCTCAAAATCACTCAGAACATAGGCTGCATTTCTAGGCTGTATACGAAGGGTCCTTCACTTTGGAACGGCCTGCTATGACGTAGTGTCTGAGAAACACAGCTTACCTTGGCTGCAGCCTAAGCTTTGAAACGTAGCTGTAGTGTCCCTCATGCACATCCTAATGATGTCAGCAAGAGTGTCTCTCAGTCAGGCCCAAGGCCTTCAAGGTTCCATAATGGTAACCTTTTACCAAGTTCTACAATGATTGAAATATCTTGTTCCACCTCCTGTACCATAGACCACTACCAGTCATAGCATCCTTCTCATGTCACGAGCCTCACAGAGACACGAAAAGTTAAAGAACTATATTCTTAGGTGTAAGAAATATATTCTTAAAATATATTCTATATTAAAAAGATTTAAATTTGATTATGGGATATGACCTATATTAATCAAATTTCACCCACATGTGAGAGATTTGATGTTCTGTCACTCTCATAAGGAAACTCATGATCGGTTTTATTACTCTCTTTTTATTTTACACCATTTAAAAACACCGGCTTCCCTTTTCCATTGTGCGACTTGTAACAAAATCTTGTTAAATTGAGAGACATTAAGAACAACATAGCTCTAAAAACCTTCTCTTACCTTCTCCCATAAAGCTATATGGTTCTATTACAACACTGACAGTATTTTTCTCTCTTAAGGCAAATGAACCCTTAAATATGCTCCTACATGATAAATGAGAAAGCAGTTTGCATTTCTTTTTCACAGAACCTCTAAGAGGCTGAATAAATTTACATGTAAATCTCAGTGTCAGCATTGCTGTAATGACCTTCATGTGTTTTGATCCTCCAAGCCTGACTGGTTATAAAACAGGAGCGTGTAACCCTGATGAAGGAGTCGTCACAGCACTGCGCTTGCTTTTGGCTCCTGTACCGATTGTCCTACTGCTGGTGGGCTTGATCTTCTTCTATCTGTACCCCATCGACGAAACGCGTCGCCAGCAGATCCAACACGACCTGGAACAAATAAGGTAGAACTGATTACATTAGTGTCACAGCTTACATTATAATGAAAGGGCAGCATGGACGTGTCTGAAGTGGGTCTGTTAAGAAGGTCTGCATCCTGTCACTGTGATTCCCAGAGATGCCACAGCCAAGTCTGAATGTTCTAGCTTTGGCATATTGTATTATGTCTTGAATTTTGATTTATAAGGTCAACCTGAAATCAAAATTGACCCTTTACACCTGGTAGTTGTTACTGAGCACAATCTTCCATTAAATGTAAAGACTTTAACGTCAAAAACATTGTTTGATTTGTGATATCACTGTGCACTAGTGGGTGGTGAAAATAATATCGACCAATAGATTTCACCTCCCTCACCCACCCCCACCTATCACTGAGTAAAAAGGATCAGCTAGCTTAGAGATCCTCCCTGATACTGTGTTTCCCTCAGAAATATGTCATAGTATGGAATAAAAATGCATAATTTCATCAACGCCCAGCACCACTTGAAATTTTTTTCACTTTGTTCCCGTATAGTTGGCTACACAGCATAAAAACAAAGGTGCCCTCCTCATATGTCCTATCTGAAAAGATTCTAAATTCATAATTTTAATTTAGTCTGTCACATTTATGTAACTTCCATAGCCTGGACTACTTATAAGGTGATGACAGGTATACAGTACTCATTTACCTTGTTATGACTATACAGCTTAGCAATGTTATTGTTTGAAAAGTATATGTTTATATGTATACTCCTTTGCTAAAAAACAGGGCAAGGCTAATAGTAATGTTTTTTTCTGATGGTCTTGGCCTGGTCAGGGTCCAGATTTAAACCCTGTGGAGAATATTTGGTCTCATATTAAACACAAACTAGCTTGGCAATGTTTTTCAACTGTTTGAAGCCATCAGTGCTGAGTGGAACAATATAGACTCTCTGTAAAAGGCTGTCAGCAAGTTTAACCACAAGACTTCAACATTTGAAAAAATGAAAGGAAAAGCTTAATGGGAAAAATTTTATAATGTCTTGTGGAATCTGGACCCTGACCAATTTTACATTAGGGGTTCTTGGAAGAGCCCTAATGTAAAATTGGTTTACAGTATGTGAAGGTTCTTTACACTCACATCTGTTGTTTAAACATGTTTCTTTAGGGAACCAAAAGTGGTTCTACTGTAGCATCACTCAAATAACCTTCTGTGGTACCTTTTTTAATTTATATAATTGCGTTCTGCTCTTATCATCTAAACCAGATCCAGGGCAAAAAGGGAAGAAGTGGACATCAGAAGGCAGCAGAGCAGCCCGCAGCAAAGGCCCAGTCAGAGCATCGTCCACTCAAAGACTAGCATAGCATCATCATCTCTTGGCACAAAAAAATTGTTTCCCCAGTTGAGAAATGCTCCTGTATCTTCTCCTCGAGAGCACTGCAACAAAATCACTCCATACAGTCATAGTTCCACTCGGTCAGTCTGCAGTTTAGAGCAACGGTTCGATAAACCCAGCTCAAAGAGCGATATTCCTGCATCTCAGCACAGCACCCACCAGTCTGCACTGAAATGTTATGAGACGCGCTGTAAGAGGGCGAAAGTTACATGGGTGTGAATTAAACTGATTTGTCTTCAGCAGGCTGCACTCGTTTTTGTGTGACTGTGAATAGTATGAAATAACTCCTGTAGATCTGTGGTCCTCCAGGTCCAGCGGTGAATATGTCTGATGTAGGCCAGTGTTCAAAAGTATGTAATCAGTGTTTTTATCAATATAAAACCAGATTGGTGGCTGATAAGTGTATAAAATGATTCCAGTATCCTTGTCCTGTGCACCATTACAGGTTTCGGATAATAAGTAGGACACTAAGAATCAGCATAATTAAAAAATATATAATAATAAATTAAGAATTCTTGTGAATGATAAACAGGACTGCAGATGATTATAAAACGACTGAGAAATCTGTTATAGCATCAAGAATTGTAGAATAATTAAATGATAAAAATTGACATCCATCATATTTCAAGAGTGGGGTTCGAATCTTAAGGCAAATAACCTTAGAAAAACATGAATATAAATAGGTTATTACAGTATATTATTCACAATTTAATTCACTTCCTGTTCACAGAACTCTTGAAATGTTTAATAAAACATTTAAAATACTGTTGGTGAAGAGTTTGAAATATTTAAATCCATATTGTAAAGGTTAGTATTGTATACAAAACAATGTAGATGCTTAGAATAGACTTGTGGGGACATCTTGTGCGATACAGTGCTGTAAACACAGTCAGGGTTATAGTTGTGACTCATTTTGGTTAAGATACACTCAGAACTGTACATGCATGCATGAAACTAAAACCTGCTTCAACAAGAAAATCCCAGTCAGAATGCAATGTGTTGTTGCTGAAACTTAAACTTTCAGGGTCACTTTCCACTCAGACATATGCTGAAGAGATTTTACGCAGCTTACGTAAAGGGAAATTACACTGATTTCATTTGAGTGGTTTGATGTAAAATGGTTCACTGTAGAGAAACTTACAGACTCTGATTTCTTTATGGTGATAGGAATCAGGGGTCGGGAAGTCCGAATACAGCCGTTTTAGTTACTGTCCAGAACCACCAGTGAACCTACACATGCCTTCTGAGTTTACGTGTTATGTGTAGTGTTGGTCACGTAAAGTAGCAGTAAATCTGAAAAAAAAATTTTGGGGGGCTATTTTGCCTTATAACACACTGCATGTACCACCATGAAAGGATTAAAAATACATTTGAGGCCAAATCTTGATCAGCTATCATAAAACAATCTCGCAGCATATTCATAACTATTTTGTGTAATAACTCGGTGAGGGAGCTTTTAGAAGTGTTAAGCTCTTCAGATGTCTGGTTCCTATCACCACCATTGGTTTCACACCAAACTACTCCGAGTGAATTTGTTCACATCTAAACTGTTAATTATGTAGAAATTTTGAAAAAAATTGGTGGAGTTCACCTTTAAGGTAAAAAATGGCCAAAACTCACTTAGAATATTTTATACAGGGACCCAGCTTCAAAAATTTAAATGGCTAAAATGTAAATTTTTTTGTTATATACAAAGATGGCTGGTTGAATAATGAAAATAAACCTGAATGACTTTGATTTTAAAAATATTTTAGTAACATTGTAACAACAGTGACCAAATTCTCACAGCTGCAGCACTGTAAGAAGATGCTGCCTGACGTCTGAAACATTGTATTACGAACGTTGTGAGGTAAAGATTGGCCTAAAACGTGTTCTTAAAAGCCATTTATGGTGGAGGGATACTTGTAAGGTGCTGTGAGGCAAAATAGTCCCCAAAAAAAACGTTTTTTAATGCTGTTACGATTATCAACAACACTTACAAGAACATTAGAACACGTGTGGGTTCACTGGTGGTTTTGAATAGTAAATAAAATAGCAATTTTTGCGTTACGTACATCATGACCACCTGTTCCCATCACCATCCCTGTTAAAAAAACACTAAGTTGGCAAGTTTCTCCACAAATGAACCAGTTCATATCAAACCACTCAATGACTTTGTTTTAGGGCTGGTAATACGATGATCCTATACTGAGCTTGTCGTGGATATCACCAGTATTAAAATCACTTTCCACCTGCACATTTCATTAAAAAGAGAGTATAATTAATCGTGTTTAATTGGATTTAGTGCAACACTGTGTTGGGTGTTGAATACGAGTAATTGGATTCATAGTTTTTGACAGTATTTTTAAAACGTGGGACTTCTTTGTCTATCAGATGTCAGAAAAAAATAAATATCATGACACATCGTATATCGTAAAAACACTACCTGTATCGTGATATTATCGCCCACCTCTACTTTGCTTACATCTCAATGACTGAATTATACGGAAAATTTGAAAAATCGGTGGAATTCCCCTTTAAAAGAGGCTAAAGCGCGAGCGGTTTCAGACTGAGTCACTCTGATTCGACTCGAACATTTTCACTCCTGTTTTGAAAGATGCGGACAGATTTTGTTTGCATTGCACTGGCGGAAATGCGCCGCTAGGGGCAGCAGATGCCTGTAAGTGGGCGATTCTGGGGCACAGGCAGAACCTTTATGTCTAGAATCACAATTACTGGATTGTACAGAGCGCATTTTGTGCAGAGACCCGGGAGAAGAGAAGCGAACAACGAGCCAGGATGGGAGTCGAGGTCGAAACGATAACTCCTGGAGACGGTAAAACACCCCAAAAGGCCTTATATAATCTCGCGAAACGAGCGTTTACTTTGTTCCATCCACGTTTTGTCTATTTTTATCAAAATATTTCCATTTCTCCGCAATTTTCACCACTCGGGCTGCTTAAGCTAGCAGTAGCCGAGCCGCTAAACGCTAGCTAGCAGTCACTGGAATTAGCACAATAACATACTTTTTTATTTCTTATTCCCCTTTAGGAAGCACATTTCCCAAGAAAGGACAGACGTGCGTCGTGCACTATGTCGGTAAGTCGAAAAATTTCTATTTTATTCATCTTGCTCAACAGCGTGGGGAGTTAATGGGTCTAGATAGCAAAGCTGGCTAGCCGAAATTCAGTTAGCCTCCAGGCTAATCCGGACAGGATGCTCCGTTAACAATAGGCCATTTTCGCAGCCTACGAAACTGAGCTGAAGCTTAATTTGAAAGGAATGTTTAGCTGAAGAATATTTAGAATGTATTTTCTCAGTTTGTCGAGGAAAAAATGGTTGGGTGGCCAATTCATCCGCTATAATACGCTTCAGCTGCGAGTGCTAGCTGTTGTGAAAAATTCAGTCGACACATTGCATGTATGTGTTAACACTACTCCGTGGGTGTGAACAGCGAGCTATCATGATTTAACGTTAGATACATGACAGAACACGCCTTAAAATGTGCTTGTAGGACAATGTTAGAAGCTTATATTTGCGATGATGCCGCCCTGTTCCGATTAGAAACCCTATAAGCTGACTTTTTGACATTTTTCCAGGATTGGCTTACGTTAGTCTAACTGCAGTGTGGGTAGGCTTCATAAAATATGCACGTTTTTGATTAAGGTTACTGTGTTAAACCTCATTTGACAGGGTCGCTGACGGACGGACGCAAGTTCGATTCCTCTCGGGACCGAGGCAAACCCTTCAAATTCAAGATTGGCAAGCAGGAAGTGATCCGTGGTTGGGATGAAGGAGTGGCCCAGGTATCCACATTATTGCTAGTGAAAACCCTTCAGAGGTCTTTGACCTCATGGTTTCAAATCCCAGTTTTCTAAACGCGCTCTATATCCAGCCATATGCGCAGCCTCGCCCTTAAAGTCGGTCTAATTCAATAGGGAATTTCTCTCTCTCTCTCTCTCTCTCTCTCTCTCTCTCCTACTCCACTGATCTTCTACATTACTCTTATTAAATGGACATGGAGCAGTGCCACTACACTGATATCCATCTGTGTTTGTTTCTCAGCACAGAACATGACTCGGAGCTCTTCTCTGTTTTGTAGATGAGTGTAGGACAGCGCGCCAGGCTGACCTGCACTCCGGACTTTGCCTATGGGAGCAAAGGTCACCCTGGCATCATCCCTCCCAACGCCACCCTCATATTTGATGTGGAGCTTATCGGCTTGGAGTAGAAGCTTTGCCGTTCGACTCAGGTTTTTCCCTATTTGTTCTTTCAGGGTGAGTGTGGCAGCGTATCGTAATGTATTGTAATGTGTCTGACCTTTTCAGCTTTGAAAGAAATTGTTTTAAATATGTTGGAACCATGTTTATTAGGCTTAACTTCAATGATCACTGCTTGGACAGCCTAATTTTGGATTAACCTGTGTGGTGATCATTTCTATGCAACATAGCCCATAGTTTCTCCAGGTGCAGGGATCATTTTAATAGCTTGGCGTTAATCCCTCAAAGAGATTATTCTTGTCCTGGACAAGCTCGTGGCTTAACTGTCCTGCAGGGTTTATTTAACGGGCTCTTAGATTAGACCGTCTAATCCTTATTGATGTGTTTTCTGTAACATAGTTTAATACATCTCATGCTCCTTCTGACTGTTTTTCTCTTGTTCCTTTTGCAGGTCGACCTTTTTGGGGAACATGGCCTCCAGCACATGATCCCCGAAAGGGGCTAGTGTTGATAGCTACACCACTTAGCTTAGCTCTGTAATCCATGTGTATATTTTGTTATCTTTTTTATTCCTTTCTTGTTAGACATGACCATTGGTATGCTCTCACCCACTGGATGTTCACTATAAACCCCTTTTTCCCCCTTTCTGCTTTTTCTTTCTTTCTTGGTATTTGAGTTCTGCATTGTAAACATGATCACTGCACAGGGCTTTGGCTGAGCTGGTAGTCTGTACTCTGGTGGGGAAATTTGGATAATTATGAAACAATAAACTACTTGAAAATAAACATTGTTTATAAAAGGACAGACCTTGTCTCCGATTTCTTCTAAATATGGACTTCTGCAAGCCAAACTTTCCAATATTACGTCATGAATTTCAACAGCTTGTTGATGTATGGATAAGAAAAGTAAAGTAAAACCACTTCAATCATTTAAAGGCAAATTTTATTTTAAAACCACACCAAATGTATTCACAGAAATATCTAGGCCTATTTCAAAAACCTGTTCACTGGCATGTATTCGCTGACTGATATCTGTTTCTAACAGCATTTTGTGGCCAATATTCTGTGTGGGAAGTTACACTTCAGAAAATGCTTTTGCTCTGACAGCCATTAAAATAAGCCTGCTGTCTTATCTATTGGAAACTTTGTGCTAACGTGCATGCTAATCAACCTACACATGGAGCTCTTGAATTAGTTTCTGACATCCCTGATTTAAATCCATTGCTGGAGTTTTTCTGTGCAATCTCAAACTAAAACATGGCTTCGTCATCACATCTTTGATAATCTACCATTAAAATGCATAAACTGAGAAGCATCACACTGAGCTAATCTGAGCGCATGCAACGCAACCCTGAATTTCAAGTAATGCTTCTCACTTAGTTTAAAGTGAACTATAGTGCTAAACTGAGGGAAAGATCTTAAAGGAGGTTCAAAGTGGAATATCACCAAACTACTTTTGCTGAAGTTGACTGTAAAGCCTAAGTGCACTACATCCATACCTACTGTAAATCTGTATGTACAACTGAACATTGAGAATCAGCTGTACAGTGGAAAAGACATATACCAGACAGTTTAATACAGTGTATATTTGAATTGATCTGTAAAGCTAGCAGGCCCATTGCCATTTCTTGACCCCTTTGTGCTTCCTACATCTATAGCCAAAATTCAGCCTGAGTTTGCATTTTATTATACAAATAACTAAAATAAATACCTATCTGAATCCTGAATTCATAAAACAAACATCATACATTCTTGGAAACCTTAGGACATTCTTTTAGCCATAGCCAAATAAAACAAGCACTTTCTTACTCTATCCCATCATTTTCCCCATTGTATCAAAAAGCTGGTATTGGAGTCGACATTTCTGAACACATGTATAAGCAACAGAAAGACAGAGTGTGGGGAAAAAAAATCTTCAGAGACAACTAGACAGTGATCCACAACACATCACTTCAGGGAAGCCTTGTTCCATATATAAGGATCAAAGATAAGACTTGTCTCAGTTTTCTCAAGATCTACCGTTTTTGTCAGAAGTTCTCACTTATGGGCTCAAAGGCTAAAATGCGAGCCAACAAATGTTGATAGGAAGAGAATCAAGGGGAGGAAAAAAGGAAACCGACATACAATTGGTGGAAATGAGTAAGAGCCATGAAATAAGTAAATGCTGACATCAGTGGTGTTAACACTGAGGATCATGTGCCCCAAGGTTTTGTTGCAACACAGCATTTCTAGTGTATGGTTCAATTAAATAGCAAACCTTTTAGCCAAGTTATATAGGGCAAAGCTTGGGCCAAGTCTGTAGGGCAGACATTCATATTGTTGTTGTGCCACCTGTCCCAGTTGGGCCTCGGCTGCGGGTGCTGCTGACTCGCCTTAGGGAATGAAGTGCTACAGCACAGCAACCGCGTAGAAGCGAGCCCATGTGGTACATGGGCATTCCTTCACGCTGTGGCCCACGACAAAGCCAAGCCAATGTTGGAACTACCGGCACTGCCACCGCTAGCAGATCGATCAAAAAATAGCGGCTCCAGTGGCTCCTTTGAGGAACTTGCTCTTGCTCATCCTCCTCCTCTGTACTTGCCCCGCCCACACCATCTTCTTCTCTGACCTCCACAACCTTTACTTCCTGTGGTGCCTGCTTTGGAGGTGGGGATGCTCTAGGACAAGGTTGTTGGGTCTGAGGCATAGTCAACACTGTAGGCGTAGATGTTGCTGATGATGTTAACTCAACAAGGTTCTCTGGGGGCAAAGGCTCTGCAAGATATGAGATCTGGGAGGGCGAAATGGTGGCGGAAGACAGCGAAAAAGTCTGTGGCTCAGCAAGAGTGACATCGGATGCACAAGCTGCTGAAGTGATGATGCTTAGCTCTTCACCACCACCCTCTTCTTCAGAGATCCATGTGATGGTGGGGCTGCAGGCTTGTGATCTGAAACCTGGCCTGTCGCTCATTTCTGATGCACTAGGGGGTGCTGCTGGCGCAAGGGGAGGAGGTGGAGGAGGAGGTGGAGGAGGTGGAAGCGGGGCCTCATCTTGAGGGAGGTGCAAGAAGAGGTGATGGTGTGGGAGGTAGGCATGTGATGCACAGCTGCAGTTGTTGTTCACTGCATGGCATGGCCGGCTAATCGGCAGGACTGTCTCGCCGCTGCACAGCTTCTCATAGGTGGAGGAGCGTGATAAAGTGGAGCAAAGCGGTAAGGGTGGGACCTGTTCCGACAGAAGGGCTGCCTCCAGAAGGAGATGGGTGCGCCCGTCGCCTCTGGGTAAAGTTGCCGCTCCCCGGTTGGCAGGAATGTGGCGCTCCAAAGGAACGTTTCCGTTCCGGTCGGTGCCAGGCGACGTCTCGCTGCTCAGCCTGGTGAAGGTGGCACTCCGGCTGATGGTATGAGCTGGAGAGCAGCCGCAGGACCTGGAGGCTCCATACCGGGGCCCTAACCTGCCTACCCCTACCCCCTCTGACTTGCAGTCCTGCTGATCCGAGTCACGGATCCCCAGGTTGGACCTGACCGCTTCCACAGCCTGCTGGAGCTGACGGATCTCCTTCCTAGCTTCTTTGAGGGCCAGCTGGGCCTCAATGCGATGGCATTCTTCTTCAATCCAGTCTTCCTGCATCCGTGAGAGCTGCATTCGTAGCTCCCCTATCTCAGAATCCCTGCAGGGATATAAAATGATGACGGAGAGCAGAAGTAACAGCCAAATGAGGTGCTTCACTTTCACATTTAGTACTGCAAGCCGTCCTTAACATGTACACTTATCGCCTGCCAATCACAGATCTGTACCAAGCTATGTGAACTGGTGTCAAGGAATGCAGTAATATAAAAACTTTTACTGTACTTCAGGTATGAGGTTATTAGCAGACGTGTGGCCTGGCTTGTATGGTCTGCGTAGACAGCAAATAAACAAACAATTAGCACTAGCCTACATATACCTGACCACTCAGGAGACAGGAGGTATTTTTTGCATTTAAATCTAAAATCGCATTTTCTAAAATTGAGTCATCTTATACTAGTACATACTGAGCACATACACTCTCTGGCCACTTTATTAGGTACACCTTGACAATGATCCACCACCCAAATAATACCTGCTTAGGCCTATGGGGGTCCTGACCATTGATGAATAAGGTAAAGAAATTAAGCAGAGAAACTGCCAAAGGGAAAGTGAACCTGATAAAAATGGAGAGTTAGTGTATATACCAGTGTAAGTATCTAATAAAGTAGACAGTACATATTATGATATAATCTAATTTAAGTATTAAGTACAGAATCACACTCAGAGCAGATTATTATACTGTAAAATCCATCAGAAACATATCTGCTAATGACCTGTCCTGCAGCCTCTCCACATTCTCTTTCAGCCGGGCACGGAGGTGACGGATACACACTTCCTTCTGCTGTAGCGGGGTGAGGTACTGCTCAGGGGCCGGAGGACGGATGCCGTGATTTTCACTGCAGGCTGCATACTTCGCCTGCCGTCTAGGGCAAGACAAGAGAAGATCAAAGAGGGAAGCACTCCAATGAATAACATGTGCCTCAGGGTGTTCCATATCATGTACACCCAAGAAAACAAAGAATAAAATAAAAGAAGCGTATACTTTCAAGAGATACTTTGACTGTCAGGGCTAACGTATGAAAAGGGCGCATGTCCTTCACGTTTCTTGCATTTTTTTAATGATATTTGTGTGGTTTTATGTACCAAAATCGTTTTTCATTTTTCCATCATTTTCCAACATCTCTTTATCCTTTTATCAATATATAAATAGGCTGATGAACGCTATATGGCCAAAAGTATGTGGACACCCCTCCTAATTATTGAGTGCAGGCGTTTCAGCTGCATAGCAAGCACACCGCCACACAGTCTATAGACAAACACCGCCAGTAGAATGGATCGTACTGAAGAGCTCAGTGACTTTAACCATGGCATTGTCAATGCCACGTTTGCCACAAGTCAGTTTGAGATATTTTTGCCCTGCTAAATCTGCCTCAGTCAACTGTAAGTGCTATGATTGTGAAATGGAAGCGTCTAGGAAAAACAACAGCTCCAGTTCCAGTGAAGGGTGTTAATGCTACAGCATACTACCAGACATGGGACAGGAGCTGGAACTGGGTATTTCCATCATTATAAAACTGGAAAAAAGGTAATCATTGCAGAGCCTTCAAGGCCTTGGGCCTGACTAAGAGCCACTCTTGCTGATGTCATTAGGATGCGCACAACGGACATTTCTGTTAACTGAACCTCACCAATGACACTGTGTTCAGTTAGCTTTCTGAACCAATTCAAGGCTGCATTATAGCATAATGATGAATCAGCAGTTTTCTATGCAGATTGTTTAATTTACATATAATTTCCATAAACTATAACTGCCTTAACCAAGTCTGTATTAGATAGGGAAAACACACGCAAGTGCTCTCACTCCCACCATTCTCTCTCGACTCTTCGTTTTAGCCTGCTCATTTTCTTTCTTTTAGCTTTCGTCTTAGTTAAGCTTTTTAATGCGAGGTTATGTGTGCTTGTGTAAAAATGTTCACATGTTGAGATTATTTTTATCTATTTTTATGCATTCTTTTAACTTTTAATTTAGTTTCCTTTTTATTTTCCTGTAATCCTAAAAAAACACTTGGGGTATACTGCATCACAGAAATTATAAAAGTGTGTTTTTCATACATTTTTAAATTTTTATCTCAGTCATGCTTTGGTAAATTGCCAAACAATTCAATAGGCTAATTTTGGTAGCTTAGTTTTCATATATGAACTGTATGGGCCGGGGAGTGAATTGTATTGAAATATTAACACAACATATTAGATCA